CAGGGTGGGGGTACGGTGGGGATAGGGTGGGGACAGGATGAGGATTAGATGGGGATAGGATGAGAAAAGAATGGGGATACGGTGGGGAAAGGATGGAGATAGGATGGGCACAGGATGAGAATAGAATAAGGATAGGATGACAATAGGATTAAGAATAGGATTGAGAATAGGATGGGGATAGGGTGAGGATAAGATAACGGATAGGATGACAACAGGATGGGGATAGGATGGAGATAAGGTGGGGACAGGGTGGGAATAGGGTAGGGACAGGGTGGGGATAGGGTGGGGATAGGGTGGGGACAGGGTGGGGATAGGGTAGGGACAGGGTGGGGATAGGGTGGGGACAGGGTGGGGATAGGATGGGGATGTCCCCGGGCTGGCACTGGGCTGGGCCTCACCGTGTCGGTGAACTGGTAAGCGATGAACTTGCGCATGAGGGCGATGGCGGTGGCGCGTTCCTCCCCGATCTGGGGGGATAAAGGGGTTATGGGGGGGGAAAGAGGTGTTTGGGGGGGCACAGGTGTGTGGGTCCCCATTGTCATCGTCCCCCCACCAGCACCCACCTTGCACTTCACGGTCCAGAGGTTGGGGTCCCTGCAGGAGCACAGAGGGAGCCGTGGCTCCAGTTCCTTCTGTTTGCATCCAAACCCCCCCGGTCCCCAGTACCCCCCCCCACTTCCCACTTGATCCATCCCAAGTGCCCCCAGTTCCCACAGATCCATCCCAAATCCACCCCGTTCCCACTGGGACTCACTTGACCCCCGGTAGCAGCTGCTGTTGGGTGATGTCGTCCGAGAGCTCATCGGAGCCGCCATAAACCCTGGGAAAGGGGGAACACCGGAAGGGATTGGGATGAAATGGGATGGGAATGGGATGAGATGGGGTCTGCGTGGGATGGGAATGGGATGAAATGGGGTCGGGATGGGATGCAGTGGGATGGGAACGGGATGAGATGGGGCTGGGATGGGATGCAATGGGATGGGAATGGGATGAGATAGGGCCGGGATGGGATGCAGTGGAATGGGAACGGGATGAGATGGGGTTGGGATGGGATGCAATGGGATGGGAACGGGATGCACACTGGGACTCACGTCTCTCCCACCGAGGACTTGGCGTATTTCTTCATGTAATACTCGCCCAGCTCTTCCTCCCGCTGATCCCTGAAGAAGAGCAAGAGGAAAAGGGGCTCAGTGGAGCCCCCCCGGACACAGGGAATGCCGGGCACCGGGAATGGCGTCAGGTGTCACCTCCAGAGGTTCTGCAGGCGCCGCGCTCCGGAGCGATCCTCATCCAGCACCACGTTGTCAATGTTGGAAGCTGCCAGGAAGAGGAAGGTGAGGGCTGGGTGCTGGGGGGGGGGTTGGGTGAAGGGGGATCCCAATGGGAATGGGGGGGTCGGGGGGGTCTTACCTTCGATCTCCTCTTCCCAGGACAAGGAATGACGGTGGAGATGGAGCGAATGAGCGGCACGAGAACCCCCCGCGGGCCAAAGGGGAGGCAGCGTTAGGAGAGGGACCAGGGAGTGGGGAAGAGGGGGGGAAAGGGGTGGGAGGAGGTGAAAGGGAGGAAAACCAGACTGGGAAGAAGGAAAAGGGGCTCGGGAGCAGGAAAGAGGGGGACAGGAGCAGGGAAAAGGGATCAGGAGCAGGGAAAGGGGATCAGGAGCAGGGAAATGGGGACAGGGAGAGGCAAAAGGGATCAGGAACAGGGAAACAGGGACAAGGAGCAGGGAAAAGGGGGACAGGGAGAAGGAAAAGGGATCCAGACCAGGGAAATGGGATCAGGAGCAGGGAAAAGGGATCCGGAGGAGGGAAAAGGGATCAGGAGCAGGAAAAAGGGGGACAGGAGCAGGGAAAAGGGGGACAGGGAGAGGGAAAAGGGATCAGGAGCAGGGAAAAGGGATCAGGAGCAGGAAAAGGGGATCAGGAGGAGGGAAAAGGGATCAGGAGCAGGGAAAGGGGATCAGGAGCAGGGAAAGGGGATCAGGAACAGGGAAAGGGGATCAGGAGCAGGGAAAGGGGATCGGGCAGAGAGAGAAGGGGGTTGGGAACAGGGAAAGGGGGTCAGGAGAAGCCCCGGGAGCCCGCAGGGAGCGCGGATGAGATGGGCTGAGCGCAGACACGGACATGGGGGGGATCGGGGGGTGCCCCCCCGCTGTGGGGCTGCACCACCAGCGTCTGCCCCTGCTCTGTGGGGCGGGGGGGGACAGACACAGCCCCCAATGGGGCAGGGGGGGGCCCTGCTCACCTTTCTCCAGGATGTCCTCAGCTCCGTCCTCCCATTGATCCTCATCCTCGTACTCATCATCCACATCTGGGGAGGCCAGGGGGGGGGGTGAGCGGGGCTGGGGGGTACCAGTGACCCCCCAACTCCCCCCATCACCCCCTGCCCTCGCTCCCTCCCCCCCACCCAGGACCCACCAGCCTCATCCAGGATGAAGCCCCCGTGCCGGGGCTTCTTGGCGGGGCGGTCATCGTCTTCCTCCTCCTCTTCCTCATCGTATTCCTCCTCCTCTTCCTCCTCCTCCTCCTCGGCCTCCTCCTTCTCACTGCCCGCAGCGCTGGCGCGCTCCTCCTCGGCCTATGGGGGGTGAAGGGGGGGTGATTGATGGGGGGTGCCCCACATCCCGCCCCCCCATCACACATAACGGGGGGGGGACACACGACAGCTTCAGCCTCACCTCGGCCTCCTCGGCCTCGCTGCTGCGCTCGCTCTCGTCCTCAGAGAAATTGCTGTCGTCGCTGTCCGACATCGTGGGGCCGCGGGGGGGCTCCTATGGGGGTGCTCTATGGGGCCTGTGGGGCGCTATGGGGGTGTTCTATGGGGCCTGAGGGCTCCTATGGGGGTGTCCTATGAGGCCTGGGGGGTTCCAATAGGCCCACCGGGGGTCCCCCGCTCCGCTCTAGGCCCCGCTGCGCTCCCGCTGCGGCCGGACCCGGCTCTTGGGCCTGTTCCGGTTCCGGTCCCGTCCCGGTTCCGGTCCCGCCTCCTCTCGCGAGAGCTGCGGCCCGCGTCACGTGACGGGGTGGGCCGAAAGCACGGCCCGAGCTCACGTTCAGAGCGCGACGGCGGCGACGGCGGCGCGGGAGGGACAAAAGAGGTGGCGGCGGACGGGGCTGGAACCAGTGCCCCCAGTGCTATCCTAGTGCCATCCCAGTGCCTCCAGTGCCATCCCAGTGCCTCCAGTGCCATCCCAGTGTCATCCCAGTGGCTCCAGTGCCATCCCAGTGCCTCCAGTGCCATCCCAGTGCCTCCAGTGCCATCCCAGTGCTACCCCAGTGCCCCCAGTCCCATCCCCATCCATCACACAGCTGATACCAGAAAAAAACCCCACACTTTATTTACCCCAAACCTGGCAATTTCCCCCCAAAGCCGGGGGGGAGGGGGAAGCCCCACCCCCCACCCCCCCGAGACCCAAAACCCAGCACAGGGACCCCAAGACCCTCCCCAAATCCCTTTATGCCCCCATGGGAGCATTGGGCTGGTTCATCACCCATGGAGGGTCCATCACCCATGGACGGGTCCATCACCCATGGGGGGTCCATCCCCCATGGATGCGTCCATCACCCACAGGGGGGTCCATCACCCATGGACAGGTCCATCACCCACGGAGGGTCCATCACCCATGGGGGGGATCCACCCCCATGTCTCAGGGCCCCCCCGGGGGAGGCAGCTTCCCAGTGATCTTGTTGGCCCCCTCCAGCAGCGCGTTGTGGATGTCCTTGGCGCCCGCGATCTGGGCCTTGATGAGGGGCAGGTATTGGGTGTAGGGCAGCGGCTCCCCGGGGCCCCCCTCACCCTTGGGTGCTGCCGGCACCAGCCCTGGAGCGTGCTTGGCGCTGTCGAAGCTCTGCGAGAGGCACTCATGGGCCAGGCGCTGCGGGGGGGGGGGTACAGAGCGTGACTGGGGGGGTTACGGGGGGGTATGGGGGGTATTGAGGGCTATGGGGGGATATGGGGGATATGGGGGGTTATGGGGGGCTGTGGGGGGTATGGGGGCTTAGGGGGTGCTATGGGGGGTTATGGGGGGGTATGGGGAGTATTGAGGGCTATGGGGGGATATGGGCGTTATGGAGGGATATGGGGGTTATGGAGGATATTGAGGGCTATGGGTGGTTATGGGGGATATGGGGGGTTATGGGGGGCTGTGGGGGGTATGGGGGCTTAGGGGGTGCTATGTGAGGGTATGGGGGTCATGGGGGGTATTGAGGGCTATGGGGGGTTATGGGGACCTATGGGGGGTATGGGGGTTTATGGGGGGCTATGGGGGGGTCCCTCACCAGGCACAGCTCTAGTTGATCGCACAGGGCATAGAACTCCTCCAGGCTCTTGTCAAAGCGCTGCAGCGGCCCCTCGGCACTCTTCCTGCGGGGACACAGGGTGAATGGGGGTTACTGGGGGGCACTGGGGGTTACTGGGGGGCACTGGCAGGATCCTGGGGGTCACTCACTGCCCATTGTCGATACTGGAGTTCTGCACCAGGTTCTGCGCCGCCACCTTCATCAGGGTCTGGGGGGGGGGAGGGGGCGGGTCAGGAGGGGTCACAACACGAGGTCGCAGCCCCCCCCTCCCCTCCCACCCTCCATGGCGCTACACAGGGGTCACACGGGGACACCGCAAACCACGCCCCCTCCCGCGTGGCCACGCCCATTTACTCCACCCCCCGCGTCCCGTCGGCCCCGCCCACCGCGAGGCTCTCCTTGAGCTGCGGCAGCAGCACCCGCAGCCGCTGCCCCGGGTCTACGTCCTGCGCTTGCGCCTGCGCCGCGGCCTGCGCGGGGAGCGGCGGCCCCTGCGGCGGAGCGGGGCCCGCGCCCGGCCCCGGGGCGTTGGGGGGGGCCGGCGGGGCAGCAGCGGCAGCGGCGGCGGAGGAGGGAGGGGGCGGCCCCGGGCCAGGCCCCGGGCCAGGCCCCGGTTGTTGCTGCTGCTGCTGCGTGGGGGCCGCCATCTTGGCTCCGCTTCCGGCGCGGCGGGAAGTGACGTCAGGGGGAAAGGGGCGTGGCCCCTAGCGGCGGCCAGAAGCGGTGTGGGCTGCGGCCGCCATGGCTCCCACCATCCAGACGCAGGCGCAGCGCGAGGAGCCTGGGCACAGGTGAGGCGGGGGGAGTGTGACGTCACGGGCCGGGGGCGCGCTTCTGACGTCATAACGCGCGTGGAGGGGCCGCGACCCGAGCGCGGCCTCCTGACGTCATAAGGCATGTTGAGAACACAGGGGGGGTGCGTGACGTCACAGCGGAAGTGTGAGGCGGGTGGGGCCCTTCATGGAGCATGGGGGGGGAGGAGGGGGGCCCTTTACGTCGTGGGAATGTTTGTGACGTCACGGGGGGGCGCTTGTGATGTCATGTGTAGAGCGATGACGTCACAGGGCCGCTACGGCATGGGGGTCGATGACATCACAGGGGGCCGATAAAGTCACAGTGTGTCACTGATGACATCACAGCTCCTGTGTTCCCCCTCCCCCCAGGCCCAGCTCCCACCGGACGCTGCCCGAGCGGTGAGTGGGGGGGGTGGGCATTCCCCTCCCCCATTGCCCCCTGACCTTTGACCCCTACTGAGCCCTGACCTTTGACTCCAGGTCAGGGGTCGTGTGCCGAGTCAAGTACTGCAACAGCCTCCCTGACATCCCCTTCGACCCCAAGTTCATCACCTACCCCTTCGACCAGAGCCGGTAACCGCGCCCTCCTGCGCCCCAGTATGACCCAGAGCACCCCAGGGTGACCCGTATGACCTCAGGGTGACCCATATGACCCCAGTATGACCCATAGCACCCCAGTATGACCCATAGTGCCCCAGGATGACCCATAGTGCCCCAGGGTGACCCATAGTGCCCCAGGATGACCCATAGCACCCCAGTATGACCCATAGTGCCCCAGGATGACCCATAGCACCCCAGTATGACCCATAGCGCCTCAGTATGACCCATAGCATCCTAGTATGACCTGTATGACCCCAGTATGACCCATAGTGCCCTAGTATGACCCGTAGCACCTCAGTATGACCCATAGTGCCCCAGGGTGACCCATAGCACCCGTAGCACTCCAGGGTCACCCAGTGCACCCCATAGCACCCCAGTGCACCCCATATGACCCCATGGCGAGGCCGGGGGGGTCCCCACGCCGTCCATGCCCCATCGCCCCAGGTTCGTGCAGTACAAGGCCACATCGCTGGAGAAGCAGCACAAGCACGATCTGCTCACGGAGCCCGACCTGGGCGTCACCATCGACCTCATCAACCCCGACACGTACCGGGTGGAGCCCAGCGGTGAGAGGGGGGCGGGGCATGGGGGGTCACAGGGCGGGGCTTGGGGGGGCGGGGCGTAAAGCGCCCTTCTGACCCCCACCCCCCCCAAAAGTGCTTCTGGACCCCGCGGATGAGAAACTGCTGGAGGAGGAGATCCAGGCACCCACCAGCTCCAAGAGGTGATGGGGGGGGTACGGCAACCCCATGACCCCTGTGGGGACCCCATAAACCCCTATGGGGAGCCCATAACCCCCTGTGGGGACCCTGTAACATCTATGGGGACCTCATAAACCCCTATGGGAACCCTATAACCCACTATGGGGACCACATAACCCCTATGGGGTCCCCATAACCCCCTCTGGGGACCCCATAACCCCCTGTGGGGAGCCCTAAAGCCCCTACGGGGACCCCTGAACCCTCTCTGGGGGTCATAGGGACCCCACAATCTCCTGTGGGAAGCCCTAAACCTCCTCTGGGGGTCACAGGGACCCCGTAACCCCTCTCTGTGCCCCCCATAACCCCCTATGGAGACCCCTAAACCCTCTCTGGGGGTCACAGGCACCCCGTAACCCCTCTCTGTGCCCCCCAGAGCCCCCTATGGAGACCCCTAAACCCCCTCTGGGGGTCACCGGGACCCCATAACCCCCTGTGGCCCCCTAGATCTCAGCAGCACGCCAAGGTGGTGCCATGGATGCGCAAGACCGAGTACATCTCCACCGAGTTCAACCGCTATGGGGTGTCCAATGAGAAACCCGAGGTCAAGTGAGTCCAGAGGGGGTGGTTTTGGGGTCCCCCCCCCACGTCCCTGTGCCCCCCCCCACCCATCCCTGTGCCCCCAGGATCGGGGTCTCGGTGAAGCAGCAGTTTACAGAGGAGGAGATCTACAAGGACCGCGACAGCCAAATCGCAGCCATCGAGAAGACCTTCGAGGATGCCCAGAAGGGGGTGAGGGACTGGGGGGAGGGAGTGGGGGGGTGGGGGAGGGGTTCTTTTGGGGTGACCCCCCCCCTCCCCCCCCAGATCACGCAGCATTACAGCAAACCCCGCGTGACCCCTGTGGAGGTGATGCCCGTGTTCCCCGACTTCAAGGTAAGTGGGGATGCCCCAAACACCCCCCCCCCCCAGGGTCCTATGGGGGAGCTGAGGCATGGAGCTACAGAACTGAGGGTGCCATGGGGTGCTATGGGGTGCCATGGTGTACTAACGGGGGCTATGGAGTGCCATAGAGTGCTGTGGGGTGCCATGGGGTGACAGAGTGCTATGGGGTGCCATAGAGTGCTATGGGGTGCCATAGAGTGCTATGGGGAGCCATGGGGTGCTATGGGGTGTGATAGTGTGCTAATGGGGTGCTATGGGGTGCCATGGGATGCTATGGGGAGCCATAGAGTGCCATGGGGTGCTGTGGGGAGTCATGTGGTGCTATGGGGTGCCATAGTGTGCTAATGGGGTGCCATGGGGTGCTATGGGGTGCCAGAGTGCTAATGGGGTGCTCTGGGGAGCCATGGGGCACTCTGGGAAGCCCCGGGGCTCTGTTGCCCCTGCTGCCCCCCAACCCCCCCCGCTGCCCCCCAGATGTGGATCAACCCCTGCGCCCAAGTGATCTTCGACTCGGACCCCGCACCCAAGGACACGAGCGGTGCGGCCGCGCTGGAGATGATGTCCCAGGCCATGATCCGGTACCGGGGGGGGACCCCGCCACGGGGGGGGTCTGGGGGGTCCCCTCAGCCCCATTGACCCCCCCTTTGTGCCCCCCCCGCAGGGGGATGATGGACGAGGAGGGGAACCAGTTTGTGGCCTATTTCCTGCCCGTGGAGGAGACGCTGCGCAAGAGGAAGCGGGACCTGGAGGAGGAGATGGACTATGCCCCCGAGGATGTGTAGGGGCCGGTGGCTTGGGGGGGCCTATGGCTTGGGGGGCCCTATGGCTTGGGGGGTGCTCTATGGCTTGGGGGGTGCTCTATGGCTTGGGGGGTGCTCTATGGCTTGGGGGTGCTCTATGGCTTGGGGGGGACCTATGGCTTGGGGGTGCTCTATGGCTTGGGGGGGCCCTATGGCTTGGGGGGTGCTCTATGGCTTGGGGGGTGCTCTATGGCTTGGGGGGGCCCTATGGCTTGGGGGGGCCTATGGCTTGGGGGGGCCCTATGGCTTGGGGGGTGCTCTATGGCTTGGGGGGTGCTCTATGGCTTGGGGGGCCCTATGGCTTGGGGGGTGCTCTATGGCTTGGGGGGCTCTATGGCTTGGGGGGTGCTCTATGGCTTGGGGGGTGCTCTATGGCTTCGGGGTGCTCTATGGCTTGGGGGCTGCTCTATGGCTTGGGGGGTGTTCTATGGCTTGGGGGGTGCTCTATGGCTTGGGGGGTGCTCTATGGCTTGGGGGGTGCTCTATGGCTTGGGGGTGCCCTGTGGCTTCAGGGGCGCCCTATGGCGTGGGGGGCACCCTATGGCTTGGGGGGAGTCCTATGGCTTGGGGGGTGCTCTACAGCTTGGGGGCACCCTATGGCTTGGGGGGGAGCCCTATAGCTTGGGGATGCTATATAGCTTGTGGGAAGCCCTATGGCTTGGGAGTGTTCTGTAGCTTAGGGGTGCCCTATAGTTTGGGGGGGGCGCTATGGGTTGAGGGGTGCACTATGGCTTGGGAGTGTCCTGTAGCTTATGGAGTGCCCTATAGCTTGGGGAGAGCCCTATAGCTTGGGGATGCTCTATAGCTTGGGGGGTGCCCTATAGCTTGGGGGAAGCCCTATAGATTCGGGGGGGTGCCCTATAGCTTGGGGATGCTCTATAGCTTGGAGGGTGCCCTATAGCTTGGGGGAAGCCCTATAGATTCGGGGGGGTGCCCTATAGCTTGGGGGTGCCCTATAGCTTTGGGATGCCCTATAGCTTTGGGGTGCCCTATAACTTGGAGGGAGTCCTATACCTTGGGAGTTTCCTGTAACATAGGGGAGTGCCCTATAGCTTGGGGGTGCCCCATAGCATGGGGGGGTGCCCTATAGCTTAGGGGTATCCTACAACTCACGGGGGTGCCCTATAGCTCGTGGGTGCTCTCCAGCCCTGGGCCAAGGGGCGCTCTGTAACCCCATGAACTTCAATGGACCCCCAGCAGCGATTTCTGCCGGAGCCCATTTTGGGGCCAGGAAAGTGGGAATTGGGGGTGGGGGGAGGGGAGCAGGACCCCCCCAGTTTGTGTGTTCCCCTCCCCCAGCTATGACTACAAGATCGCTCGGGAATACAACTGGAACGTGAAGAACAAAGCGAGCAAGGGCTACGAGGAGAATTACTTCTTCATCTTCCGCGAGGGCGATGGGGTCTACTACAATGAGCTGGAGACCAGGTTTGGGGGGGTCCATGGGGGGGGGCAGCTTTAGGGGCTGTTTTTGGGGTACCCCAGGTGTGCACCCCCCATTTACCCCATGCAGGGTGAGGCTGAGCAAGCGGCGGGCTCGCGCCGGGGTGCAGTCGGGCACCAACGCGGTGCTGGTGGTGAAGCACCGGGATATGAATGAGAAGGAGCTGGAGGCGCAGGTGGGGTTTGGGGTGAAAAGGGAGGGTTTGGGGTTGGTGGGTGTTCTCCCCCCTTGACCCCATTGACCCCATTCCCGGCCGCAGGAAGCGCGCCGGGCGCAGCTGGAGAACCACGAGCCCGAGGAGGAGGAAGAGGAGGAGATGGAGGCGGAGAAGGAGGCGGCGGGGTCAGGTAAAGGGGGGGGATTTTGGGGTGATTTAAGGGGGATTTGGGGGCGAGGGGACCCCAATATCGTTCTCTTCTCTGCACCCCCTATAGAGGAGGAGCGTGAGAAGGGCAGCGAGAGTGGGGAGGAGGAGGAGGCCGAAGGCTCCCGCGGGGGGAGCAGCAGCGAGCGGGAGGAGGAGGAAGAGGAAGAGGAGGAGGAAGAGGAGGAAGAGGAAGGGCGGGGGGGGGCCCGGAGAGCGAGGGGGGGGGCAGGCAGCGACGCCGCCCGCGCCGCCCGGGACCAGGAGGAGATCTTCGGGAGCGACAACGACGAGGATGAGGAGGAGGAGGAGGAGGAGGAGGAGGAGGAGGAAGACGACAGCGATGAAGCCGAGGGGGGGGGGCCCCCGCGCAGCCCCCACCTCACCCCCAGCGAGGCCTCGGAGGAGGACGAGAGCCACAGCGACTCCTCCAGCAGCGACTGAGCCCCCTCGTCCCCACCCCCACCCCCTTTTTTGGGGTGAAAAAGCAGCGTTTTGGGGGGCCCGGGGGGTTGCTGCGTCGTCTCTTTTAATCCCGTTGTCATGGTTACCAGCCATTATCATAACAAAAGTGATTCATAATAAAATGTATCTAAAATAACGGTTTCTATCGCGAGGGGCCGCTAAAAGTGGGGGGAAGGGGGAGGGTTGGGGGGGAGGGGCTGTACCAAGGGGGGTGTGGGGGAGGGGTGTTGCCATGTACCTAAATAAAGGGGTTCCCCCCCCCGCCCCCCCCATCGGGGCTGGGGGAAGAAAATTAATATTAATAATAATAATAAAACACAACAAAAAAGCCCCAAAACTGGGAGGGAGGGGGGAAGGGTCAAACACGGGAACAACCCCCCAAAACCCGGGAGAGCCCCGCCCCCCCCGTAGTGTCACATGGCCCCACCCGCACACCGTGACGTCATTGGCCCCGCCCACACACCCCCCCTGCGAGGCCACTCCCCCACGGGACCCCCTCCCCCCCTCAAATTGGGGGGATGGGGGGGTTATGGGAAGCCCCTCCCCCCACCCCCGGGGTTAAAAGGGAGGGGGAGGGGGGCTTAAGGGGGTGACCCCCATTCCCCCCCCTTAAAGTGGGGGGGGCGGCGCCATCAGATGGTCGAGGTCTTGTCCGTGCCGTCTGTGGGGGGGGAGGGGGGAACACAGAGGTCACGTGAGGGGGGGGAAGGGGGTCCCCTTGGGGATCCTCCCCCCCATTTCAGCTTGGCCCCCCCCTCACCGCCCAGCGCGTGCTCCGTCATGCTCAGACACAGCGACTCCAGCGTGGGGTTGATCTCCAGGTCCGTGCCGGGGGGGGGACACTCTGGGGGGGAGGGTACACACATTAAAGGGGGTTTATTGGGGTCCCCCCCCAAAAAACATCCCCCCTCCCCCCGCAGGGACCCCTTAAAATGGGGAGGAAACAGTGACCACCCCCCCCCCAGGGGTTTTGAACCCCCCCCATGTTTTGGGGACCCCCCCACAATGCTTTGTGACCCCCATTAAGATTTTGGGGGTACCCCCCCCGCTTACCCTGGGGGAAGCTGAGCAGCGCCTGGGGCGAGTGCACGGGCAGCGAATGCGTTCTCTGCACCCCACTGCGGCCCCCCCCGGACCCCCCCGCCCCGAACCACAGGCTCTGGGGGGGGGAACGGGGGGGTCACGGGGGAGGGGACCCCCTAACAAAGGGTCCCCCCCGAGCTCCCCCCATGGGGAGCCCAGGGGGAAGAAGTCCCCCCCCCAGAGGCCAAATCCCATCAAACCCCCCATAAATCCCATAGGACCCCCCTCCCATTCCACAGGAGCCCCACAATCCCATAGGACCCCCCCCAAATCCCATTGGGCCCCTCCCAAACCCCATAGGACCCCCCCGGTCATATGAGCTCCCCCGTTCCATAGGAGCCCCACAATCCCATAGGACCCCCCCGAAATCCCATAAACCCCCTCCAAATCCCATAGGACCCCAACCCCGTAACCCCCCCCAATCCCATAGGACCCCCCCATATCCCATAGGACCCCGCCCACATCATATAAGACACCCCCATTCCATAGGAGCCCCCCAATGCCATAGGACCCCCCAATCCCATAGGACCCCCCCCATTCCATAGTACCCCCCCCACCCCATAGTACCCCCCCCAGCACCCACCTGTCTCCCCTGGGTGCTCAGGGGGGGCGCTCCCAGGGGGGGCCGTGGGGCCGGTGCCCCCCCCGCGGGTCCCAGCAGCCCCAGGCGGGCGGGGGGCAGTGCCCGGGGGGGGCACACAAAGGGGCGCTGCCCCCGGCGCCCCCCCGCCCCCCCCACAGAGCCAGCTATGGGGAGCGAGTTGGAACCGAAGGCCCAGCTGGGGGGGGGCACAAAGAGGGGGTCATGGGGGGGATTGGGGGTCACGTGGTGCTGTCAGGGGGTGCCCCCCTCCCGTGTCCGTCCCCCCCCGCGCACTCACCCCTTGGGGGGCCGGAAGCCGGGGCCCTCGAGTGGGAGCTTCTTGGGGCAGGCGCGGAGCAGGCGCAGGACCTGGTGCTTCCAGGAGAGGAGGCGGCGCCGCTGCGGGTCCGTGAACGCCTGGGGGGGTGCGGGGCATGGGGTGGGCATGGGGGGGACATGGGTGATGGGGGGGCATGGGTGGAGGGGGGGTATGGGTGATGGGGGGGCATGGGTGATGGGGGGGCACGGGGCATAGGGGGAGCATGAGGGGGCATGGGGGACACAGGTCATGGGGGGCACAGGGGGATCATGGGGGGTCACGGGGGGTGATGGGGAGGGCACAGGGGGGTCCCGGCTCTCACCTCGTGGCTCAGGCACTTCTCCAGCAGCTGCAGGTAGGAGCTGATGCTCTCCTCGTCCGGGCGCGACACCAGCAGCTGCGTGCACACTGCGGGGGGGTCAGCACCCCCGGCCCCCCCGGCACCCACACAGCACCCCATGGCACCCACAGACAGCCCCATGGCACCCATAGACAGCCCCATAGCACCCATACACCCATAGACACCCCAGTACCCACAGACACCCCATAGCACCCACAGACAGCCCCATGGCACCCACAGACCCCCCAGCACCCACAGAGCACCCATAGCACCCACAGACAGCCCCATGGCACCCATAGACACCCCATGGCACCCATAGACAGCCCCATGGCACCCATGGGCAGCCCTAGGACCCGATGCTCCCCCCAGCACCAATAGCCACCCCTAGCACCCACAGATTCCCCCCTAGCACCTAATGCCCCACTGCAGCACCCATAGATATCCCCATCACCCATAGAGCCCCCCTAGCACCCAATGTCCCCCTCAGCCCCCATAGACCCCCTCAGGACCCAATGCCCCTCCCCAGCCCCCAATGCTCCCCAGCCCCACTCAGCACCCCCAACGCCCCCCCAGCCCCCAATGCTCCCCCAACACTCTTTGCCCCCCCACCCCACTTTGTCCCCCACCCCCGAATGCCCCCCTGCACCCCCCAATGAAACTCCCCCCCCCTTTGCCCCCGTTTGCCCCCCCGGGCCCCACCTTTGCCCATGACACGGGTGAACTGCCCTGGGATGTCCCCGTCGGGCACCGGGGCCGCGGGGGCCTCGGGGTCGGTGCCCGGGTGCTGGGGGGGGGGGAAGGGCTCCCCGGGCGCTGGGGGGGGTCCTTCGGGGGGGGGCGGCGCGGCGGGGGGGGGCCGGAAGCCCTTGATGGGGGTGCTGAGAATCTGCTGCAGCTCCTGCAGGGCCGACCACAGGTTCCCCCCCTCCAGGATGTCCTGCGGGGACGCCCATTGGTACCCATTGGCGCCCATTGGTACCCATTGGCACCCACTGGTACCCATTGACAGCCATTGGCCCCCATTGGCACCCACTGCACCCATTGGCACCCACTGGCACCCATTGCTACCCACTGCCACCCATTGGTACCCACTGCAAACCAGTGCCACCCATTGTCACCCAGTGCCACCCTGGGGTACCCTAAGAGTCAGAGTGCCACCCAGTGCCACCCCTAGGGACCCACAAGGACCCAATGCCACCCCATGGGGACTCAGTACCACCCCTAGGGACCCACAGGCACCCAGTGCCACCCCATAGGGACCCAGTGCCACCCTTAGAGACCCACAGGGACCCAATGCCACCCCATAGGGACTCAGTACCACCCCTTAGGAACCCCAAAGGGACCCAGTGCTACCCCTAGGGACCCACAAGGGCCCAATGCCACCCCACAGGGACTCAGTACCACCCCTTAGGAGCCCCATACGGCCCCAGTGCCACCCCATAGGCTCCCAACGCCCCCTCTGAGCCCATCCCACCTTCTCCAGCGCCCTGAGCACGCTCTGCCTCTCGCGCAGCTTCTGGATGCTGAGCGCGATCTTGTGCCGCGCACCCTTGGTGACGTTCTGGGATGGGGGGGCACAGACACGGAGCAGGTTTGGGGGTGCCCCCTGCGTGCCATGGGGGGGGCGCACAAAGCACCCCCCCATCCCCATCCCGGGTACCTGCGACTCCAGGTGATGCTCGGTCAGCGTCATCATCTCCTCATAGCTCATCTGCGAGAAGAGCGCCGCGTACTTGTGCAGCCGGAGGCTCTTGAGCCACGAGGGGACATCTGCGGGTTTCGGGGGGGGGGTCCCCCTTGTTGTTATTATTATGGGATGCCAGGAGCCCCCCCCCCCCCCTCCCCATCTCACCCTTCATGCCGCTGCCGTCCTCCTGGAAGCTGTTCCTACCCGGGGGCCCCTCCTCGGGGTTCTCGCTGCCCGAGGAGGCCGCGCTGCTCTGGGGGGACAGCGGGGGGGGGTCCCCAAAGGGCCGGGGGGGGGCAGCGATGGCCACGGGGGGGTCCTCGCTCGGAGCAGGGTGGGGGGGGCCGGGGACCCCCAGGGAGCGCTTCAGGGGGCTGGGGTGCAGCGGGCAGGGGAGAGCTGGGGAGAGGGCACGGGGGGGGTCAGGGGGGAGCCCCCATGGCTTGGAGACCCCCCTCCCAGGGCTCAGCTCTGAATGACCCCCCCCATCACCCCCCAGCCCTAAGGGCCACCCAAACCAGTTCACAGCCCCCCCGATCCCTCCCAGGCCCCCCAAACCCCTTCTATCCCCCCCAAACCCCTTCTATGCCACCCAAATCCCTTCCCAGCCCCCCCAATTCCTTTCCTGCATCTCCAAATCCCTTCTATGTCCCCCCAAACCCCTTCCCTGCTCCCCCAAATCCATTCCCAGCCCCCCAAACCCCTTCTCTGTCCCCGAAATCCCTTCCCAGCCACCCCAAATCCCTTCCCTGCTCCCCCAAATCCGTTCCTTGCCTTCCTTGTCCCTTCTATCCTCCCGAAACCCTTTCTATGCTCCCGAAACCCCTTCTATGTCCCCCAAACCCCTTCCCAGCACCCCCAAACCCCTTCTATGCCCCCCAAATCCCTTCTATGCCCCCTTGTCCCTTCTATCCCCCCCCCCAACTCACCCGCTCCCCCCATTCCATTCCCACTGCCGCCCGGTGCAGCCTGGAACTGGGGGTGCCCGTTCTCCCGCGGGGGGGGCTCAGCCCAGGCCGAGCCCAGCTCCGGGGCTGCCCCATGCTCGGGCCATTCATGTGCAGGGGGGGGCGCGCGGCAGGAGGAGGAGGAAGAGGAGGATGAGGATGATGCTGACGGTGGGGGGGGGGCTCCGGTAGCCAGGCGCTCCTCCAGGTGGCCCAGCCACAGGGCCAGGGCACTGCGGTCGTCCAGGGTGGTGGCGGGGTGGATGAGGGCGTAGGAGAGGAGCTGGCGGCTCTCCTCCACGCAGCGGTTGCTCTCGATGGCGTAGGCCAGCACCGTCTGCAGGCGCTTCATGTACTCGGCCTTGGCGGCCGCGTTGCCCGGCTGCAGCAGCGGGAGGTGCGCCAGGAGCAGCGCCACGGCTGCCTCGGCCGGCTCCTGCGGCCACTGCCGGATGGCGGCTGCGGGGGGGGGAATGGGGTTACAGGGGGGATGGGGAGGGGGGAATGGGGGGGTTACAGGGGGGAAAGGGGGGGGGGCAAAGGGTGGCTCTGGGAAGGCCCTGGGTGGTCACTGAGTCCTTATGGGTGGCCCTGGGTGGGCACTGAGTCCTTATGGGTGGCCCTGGGTGGTCACTGAGTCCTTATGGGTGGCCCTGGGTGGGCATTGAGTCCTTATGGGTGGCATTGGGTGGTCACTGAGTCCTTATGGGTGGCCCTGGGTGGGCATTGAGTCCTTATGGGTGGCCCTGGGTGGTCACTGAGCCCTTACGGGTGGCCCTGGGTGGGCACTGAGTCCTTATGGGTGGCCCTGGGTGGTCATTGAGTCCTTATGGGTGGCCCTGGGTGGGCATTGAGTCCTTATGGGTGGCCCTGGGTGGGCATTGAGTCCTTATGGGTGGCCCTGGGTGGTCACTGAGCCCTTATGGGTGGCCCTGGGTGGGCATTGAGTCCTTATGGGTGGCCCTGGGTGGTCACTGAGTCCTTATGGGTGGCCCTGGGTGGGCATTGAGTCCTTATGGGTGGCCCTGGGTGGGCACTGAGTCCTTATGGGTGGCCCTGAGTGGTCACTGTGTCCTTATGGGTGACATTGGGTGGTCACTGAGCCCTTATGGGTGGCCTTGGGTGGTCACTGAGTCCTTATGGGTGGCATTGGGTGGTCACTGAGTCCTTATGGGTGGCATTGGGTGGGCATTGAGTCTTTATGTGTGGCATTGGGTGGACATTGAGTCCTTATGGGTGGCCCTGGGTGGTCATTGAGTCCTTATGGGTGGCCCTGCGTGGGCATTGAGTCCTTATGGGTGGCCCTGGGTGGTCATTGAGCCCTTATGGGTGACATTAGGTGGTCACTGAGTCCTTATGGGTGGCCCTGGGTGGTCACTGAGTCCTTATGGGTGGGCATTGAGCCGTTATGGGTGCCCTGGGAGGTCACTGAGCCCGTAAGGGTGGCTGCGGGTCACCTGTCACCCCGCGCAAGGTCCCCCCCGCCCGGAGCCCCCCGCCCGCGCCGCACCGCGCTCACCGGCGCTGTTGGCCTCGGCCTCCCGGAGGTGGATGTCGGTGCAATCGGCCAGCGAGTGCTCGAGGCAGAGCTGCAGGAACCGCGCCTGGGTGCGGGTGACGCGCTTGAGCAGCGAGAGCAGCGCCACGGTCTGTTCGCACTCGTTCCACGCCTTGAACCACCCCGCCACGATGCCCACCTGGTCCCGGAACATCATCACGGGGGGGCCCCGGCGGCACCGGTTACCGCGGAGGGGCGGACGCGGGCCCGGCCCTCACATGGCGGCGATGGCGGCGGCTGCTGCCGGGGCCGGGCCGGGCCCGGTGCGGGGGGAGCCGGAGCCGGGGCCGAGGCCGAGGCCGCGATCGTGCCCCGGGGCCGCCGCTCGCCCGCCGCCGCCGCCGTCAACGTCAGCGCGTAAGTGCGCGACTGCGTCACCGCGCGTGCGCCCGGCGATGCCACCCCGCCCACTTCCGCCGCACGCACGGGAACGGCCAATGGGAGAGAGCGGCGTGGGGGGCTCCGGGCGCTGATTGGATGGCGGGGATGTCAATCAGGGGGCGCCGAGGAGGTGGTTGGGGGGCTTGGAGGGACACGCCTCTTTGCGACGGACACACCCCTTCCTTGGCTGAGGCCACGCCTTCTTCTGCGTTGGTTCCTCCCCTGCCCCGTCGGGGGGGCGGGGCTTAGCGGAAGGGGCGCGGTCTGTGCCATCGGGGCTGTGGCGCCCCCTGCTGCGGGGAGCAGGGCCCCGGAGTGACCCCGTGTCCCCAGCGTAACCCAGTATAGCACCAGTGTAACCTAGTATAGCACCAGTATAACCCAATATAGCTCCAGTGTATCCCAGTATAACCCAGTATAGCCTCAGTATAACCCAGTGTAGCACCAGTGTAACCCAGTATAACCCAGTATAGCTCCACTGTAACCCAGTATAGCCCCAGTATAACCCAGTGGAGCACCAGTGTAACCCAGTATAACCCAGTATAGCTCCAGTATAGCCCCAGTATAACCCAGTATAGCCCCAGTGTAACCCAGTATAGCCCCAGTATAACCCAGTATAGCCCCAGTGTCTCCAGTATAACCTAGTATAGCCCCAGTATAGCTCCAGTGTCTTCATTATAACCTAGTATAGCCCCAGTATAACCCAGTATAGCCCCAGTGTAACCCAGTATAACCCAGTATAGCCCCAGTGCGGCCCCAGTGTCCCCAGTATAGCCCCAGTATAACCCAGTATAACCCCAGTGTCCTCAGTATAGCCCCAGTGTCCTCAGCATAACCCAGTATAGTCCCAGTATCCCTAGTACAGCCCCAGTATGGCCCCAGTGTCCCCTGTCCAGCTCCCCCAGTGTCCCCAGTGTAACTGCAGTGGCCCAGTGGCTCCCAGGGAATCCCCAGTGCAGCCCCAGTGTCCCCCAGTGAACCCCAGTGTCCCCAGTCCGTGACCCCAGTACCCTCAGTGTCCTCAGTGCTTCCAGTCCGTGTTCCCAGTGTTCCCCAGTGTCCCCCCGTATGCTCTAGCCCAGGTTCCCAGTATCCCCCAGCGCATACCATTGTCCCCCATGGTCCCCCATTGTCCCCCATTGTCCCCAGCGGGCCCCAGCCCCGCTATCGGCCCGAGGTACCGGTAGCTCCGGGCCCCGCCGCGGCCGCGGCTCCGCCCCCCCGGCCCCGCCCCGGCGGCTTCTGCGGCTCCAGCGGCGGCGGCGGCGGCGGGGGCCTGGACCGGCGGGCGCGGGGCTGCGCCGGGACCCGCCCGGGACCCCGCGGGGACCCCCCGGTAACCCCCGGTGCCCCCCCCAACACCCGATCCTGGTACCCCCCCCCGCATCCCCGTGCCCATCCCCGCATCCCGGTGCCCCGATCCCGGCATCCCCCGCCACGATCCCGACCGCCGGCTCCCCCCCGGCATCCCGGTCCCCATCCCTGCATCCCGGTCCCCATCCCTGCATCCCGGCACGCTCCGGTAACCCCCATTGCCCACCCCCAGCATCCCCACCCCTGTATCCCGGTGCCCCCCTCTCCATCCCCATCCCGATCCCTCCATTCCCGTTCTCCTCTATCCCGATCCCGATATCCCGGTGCCCCCTCCCCATACGCTGGTATCCCGGTGCCCCCCATCCCGATCCCGGTATCCGGCTCCCCCCATCCCGGCCATGGTCCCCCCGCGGGGCGGGGCCTGAACCGGGCCCGTTCCCCCTCCCTGGAGCCGCGATGGGAACGTCCGTGGGCTGAACCCCAGGTATGGGGTGGGGGGAACGGGGCTGCGCTGGGCCATAATGGGCTGTACTGGGCAGTACTGGGCAGTACTGGGCTGTACTGGGCTGTGCTGGGCTGCAGTGGGCCATGTGCTTTCATACTGGGCTGTACTGGGCTGTGTGCTCTCATACTGGGGCTGTACTGGGCTGCACTGGGGCATAATGGGCTGTACTGGGCTGCACTGGGCTGTACTGGGCTGTACTGGGCTGTACTGAGCCATGTGCTTTCATACTGGGCTGTACTGGGCTGTGTGCTCTCATACTGGGGCTGTACTGGGCTGTACTGGGCTGTACTGGGCTGTACTGGGCCATGTGCTTTCATACTGGGCTGTACTGGGCTGTGTGCTCTCATACTGGGGCTGTACCAGGCCTTACTGAGCCATGCACTCCCTTACTGGGCTGTATCCCTCCGTACTGGGCTGTACTGGGCCATACTGGGCTGCACTGGGCCGTATTAGGCTGTGCTGGGCCTTGTTAGAATGTAATGTGCCATGAAGAGTATTACCAGGTGATACTGGGCTGGATGGGTTGTACTGGGTTGTACTGCGCTGGACTGGGCTGGACTGAGCTGTACTGAGGTGCATGGAGCCATATTGGGCTGGACTAGTTCATTCTGGTCTGTACTGGTGGGTCCATAGTAGTCCATTCTGGTCTATACTGGTGGGTCCATACTGGTCCATACTGGTCTGTACTGGTGGGTCCATACTGGTCCATACTGGTCCATCTACACCCACAGGCCCTGCGGTGACGCCCGAAAGGGACCAGGATGGAGCCTTGAGAGGAGGTGAGAGGTCCCAGGGGGACACACATGATCCCATGGGACATACGGGGACATGGGATCACATGGGATCATGCGGGCTCACATGGGGTCATGCAGGATTACATGCGGGATGTCACAGGATACACAGGCTCACACGGGAACACACGGGATCGTGCAGGGTGGCACATGATGCATGGGAACCCAGGGGATCACATGGGATCCCACGGGATGTCATGGGACGCATGGGATAACACGGAACACATGGGAGCTCCTGGGTGTGGGAGCTGCCAGGGACACCCGGGATCACACAGGACGGGGTGGGGATGCACAGCCCCATCGCCCCCCCGCGCCCCACGAGCCCCATCCTGCCCCATTGTGCCCCACGAGCCCCATCCTGCCCCATTGTGCCCCATCCTGCCCCATTGTGTCCCATGAGCCCCATCCTTCCCCATTGTGCCTCATCCTGCCCCATTGTGTCCCATGAGCCCCATCCTGCCCCATTGTGCCCCATCCCGCCCCATGAGCCCCATCCCGCCCTGCCCCATTGTGCCCCATGAGCCCCATCCTGCCCCATGAGCCTCATCCTGCCCCATTGTGCCCCATGAGCCCCATCCTGCCCTGCCCCATTGTGCCCCATGAGCCCCATCCTGCCCTGCCCCATTGTGCCCCATGAGCCCCATCCTGCCCCATTGTGCCCCACGAGCCCCATCCTGCCCCATTGTGCCCCATCCTGCCCCATTGTCCCCATGAGCCCCATCCTGCCCCATTGTGCCCCATGAGCCCCATCCTGCCCCACTGTGCCCCATCCTGCCCCATTGTGCCCCATGAGCCCCATCCCGCCCGCCATCCGCCCCACTCCTGAGCCCGCTCTCCCCACAGGCGCCGCGGGGCGCAGGATGGCGAAGCTGCTGGTGCCGCTGGTGGTGCTGGGGGCGGTGGCGGGGGGGCCCCCCCGCTGCCCCCCACGCTGCCTGTGCCCCGCGGCGGCACCGAGCCCCACGCTGCTGTGCGCCCGCACGGGGCTGCTGGCGGTGCCGCCACTGCTGGACCGCGGCGCCGTGGAGCTGCGCTTGGCTGACAACTTCATCGGCGCCGTCGGCCGCTCCGACTTCGCCAACATGAGCAGCCTCGTGCACCTCACGCTGTCCCGCAACGGCCTCCGCCGCCTGGCGCCCGGCGCCTTCGCCGACCTCCGCGCCCTCCGCGCCCTGCACCTGGACGGCAACCGGCTGCCGGCGCTGAGCGGCGCCCAGCTCCGCGGCCTGGCCAACCTGCGCCACCTCATCCTGGCCAACAACCAGCTGGCCGCCATCGAGCCGGCCGCCTTCGCCGCCTTCGCCGCCACCGTGGAGGACCTGGACCTGTCCCACAACAACCTCCCGGCGCTGCCCTGGGACGCCATGGCCTCCATGGCCAGCTTGGCCACGCTCACGCTGGACCACAACCTCCTGGAGCGCATCCCCGCCGGCACCGTGGCGCGGCTGCCGCGCTTGGCGCGCCTGGACCTCACCGCCAACCGCCTCCGCGCGCTGCCGCCGGTGCCGGGGCCGCCGGGTCCCACGTTGGCGGCGGGGGGGAACCCGCTCCATTGCAACTGCGAGCTGCTTTGGCTGCGCCGCCTGGCGCAACCGGACCGCCTGGAGAGCTGCGCCTCGCCGGCACCGCTGGCCGGGCGCCTGCTGTGGGCCGTGCCCGAGGAGGAGCTGACGTGCAGCGCTCCGGCCATCGCCGCCGCGGCCGCGCACCCGCCCGCCGTCATCGAGGGGCAGCCGCTGAGGCTGGCGTGCGCCGCTGGGGGGGACCCGCCACCGGCGCTGCATTGGCTGGGGCCGGACGGGCGCTTGGTGCAGAACGGGACTCGCCGCGCCGTGGGCCACGACGGCACCTTGGAGCTGCGGGTGGCCACGCTGGGCGACCACGGCGCCTTCACCTGCGTGGCCTCCAACGCCGCCGGCGAGGCGGCCGCGCGCGTGGCCGTGGCGGTGCTGCCGCTGCCGGTGCCTCACGGTGACACCGGCGATGACGCCGCTGCCGCCGCGGGGCCCGGCGCCTCGGACATGGCACGGGCCGGGGGCAATGAGACGTGGGCGCCGGGCGAGCGGCGCGTGGTGGCGGCCGAGGTGACGGCGGCGTCGGCGCGGATCCGGTGGCTGCCGCAGCGCCACGTGCCCGGTGTCCGCGTCTTCCAGATCCAGTACAACAGCACTGGGGATGAGGCGCCCGTCTACAGGTACAGGAGGGGGGGGACAGGGGGGCCCTGAGGGTCTGGGGGAGCTGGGTTGGGGTCAGGGTTGGGTTTAATGTTAGGGTTAGGTTTAGGGTTAGCGTTAGGGTTATTGTTAGGGTATGAGCATGTTCTCGGGGGTTCCGGGGGGGGTTTGGGGTTCCTTAGGGGGGGTTGTAGGGCCCAGAGGACCTCAGGAGAGTCCTGCGGGGGAGGTCTGGGGGGCTCATGATGGGTTTGGGAGGTGCTGAAGGGACACTGGGGGCTCTGGCTTGTGCTGGGTGATCCTGGGGGGCTTTATGTGCTCTGCAGGTGAGCTGGGTGCTCCTCTATGGATGCTCTGTTGTGCTCTATGGATGCTCTATGCGTGCTCTGTGGATGGGTGCTCTATGGATGGGTGTTCTATGGATGCTCTATGGATGCTCTGTGTGCTGTATGGATAGGTGCTCTATGGATGGATGCTCTATGGATGCTCTATATGTGCTCTATGGATGGGTGTTCTATGGATGCTCTATGGATGCTCTGTGTGCTGTATGGATAGGTGCTCTATGGATGGATGCTCTATGGATGCTCTGTATGTGCTCTATGGATGGGTGTTCTATGGATGCTCTATGGATGCTCTGTGTGCTGTATGGATAGGTGCTCTGTGGATGGATGCTCTATGGATGCTCTATATGTGCTCTATGGGTGGGTGCTCTGTGGATGGTCTATGGATGCTCTGTAAGCTCTATGGATAGGTGCTCTGTGGATGGATGCTCTATGGATGGATGCTCTATGGATTCTCTCTATGTGCTCTATGGATGGGTGCTCTATGGCTGGATGCTCTATGTGTACTCTATAGGTGCCCTATGTGTGCTCTATGGATGCTCTATACATGCTCAGTGTGTGCTCTGCGGATGGATGCTCTATGGATTTTCTGTGTATGAACGCTCTATGGATGGTCTATGTGCCTCTATGTGTCTCTGTGTCTCTCTTTATGTGCCTCTATACATCTCCATGTGTCTCTATGTGTCTTTATGTGTCTCTATGTACTTCTATGTGTCTCTATGTACCTTTATGTGTCTCTATGTACCTCTATGTGTCTCTATGTACCTCTATGTGTCTCTATGTACCTCTGTCTCTCTCTGTCTTTCTCTCTGTGTCTCTATGTACCTCTCTCTGTCTCTCTGTATGCCTCTATGTGTCTGTGTTTCTCTATGTGCATCTGTGTGTCTCTCCGTGTCTCTATACGTCTCTATGTGCCTCTATATGGCTCCATGTGTCTCTATGTGTCTCTGTATGTCTCTATGTGTCTCCATATGTCTCCATGTGCCTCTATACGTGTCTCTGTCTCCATCTCTCTGTGTCTCTATCTCCCTATGTCCCTCTCTATCTCCGTTTCCCTCTGTGTGTCTCTAGCTCTCTGTATCTCCCTCCCTGTGTCCCTGTCTCTGTCTCCCCATTTCCCTCTCTGTGTCTCTCTCTCCCTGTATCCCTCCCTGTGTCCCTGTCTCTGTCTCCCCGTTTCCCTCTGCCCCCCTCTGCCCCCCGCCGCTCCCCCACCTCTCTCCCTCTCTCTCTCCCCCGCAGGCTCCTGCCTCCCTCCAGCCGCAGTTTCACGCTGCGGGACCTGGCCGCGGGCCGCGAGTATGAGCTCTGCGTGGCGGCGCTGCGGGCCGGGGGGGTGGGCCCGGCTCCGGCTCCGGCTCCGGGCCCGGCCGCTCCCTTCGCGCACCCCTTGGGCTGCGTCCGCTTCAGCACCGGGGCCGCGGGCTCCGCGTCCCCCCCGGGCTGCTCCGCGCTGCCGCGGGCGCCCTTCCTGGGCGGCACCGTCATCATCGTCATCGGCGCCGCCATCGCCGCCTCCGTGCTGCTCTTCATCCTCATCCTCACCGCGCGGTACAAGGCGGCCGCGCGCCGCGGGCCCGCGCTCGCCAGCGCCTGCTCCCAGACCAACGGCGGCCCCCGGACCCCGGAGCCGGAGCCGGAGCCGAGCCCGGAGCCGAGGAGCCCGGAGCAGAGGAGCCCGGAGCCGCCCGCGGTGCCCCCGGCGCTGGGCTCCGGCAGCCACAGCTTCCCCCGGCGCAACCGGAGCCGGCGCCACGGCTCCCTCCCGCGCCTCGACCATGGCGGGGATGCGGTGCCCACGCTGCGGCCGAGCTTCGGCAGCACCCATTGGATGCTGGAGAGCACCGTGTGAGGGGGGGGCCGGGGAACGGGGCACCCCTGGGTGCCACTGCCCGGAGCTGGGTGCTCCAGCCCAGAACTGGGTGCTCCAGCCCAGAACTGGGTGCTCCAGCCCGGAACTGGGTGCTCCAGCCCGGAACTGGGTGCTCCAGCCCGGAACTGGGTGCTCCAGCTCGGAACTGGGTGCTCCAGCCCAGAACTGGGTGCTCCAGCCCAGAACTGGGTGCTCCAGCCCAGAACTGGGTGCTCCAGCCCAGAACTGGGTGCTCCAGCCCGGAACTGGGTGCTCCAGCTCAGAACTGGGTGCTCCAGCCCGGAACTGGGTGCTCCAGCCCAGAACTGGGTGCTCCAGCCCAGAACTGGGTGCTCCAGCCCAGAACTGGGTGCTCCAGCCCAGAACTGGGTGCTCCAGCTCAGAACTGGGTGCTCCAGCCCAGAACTGGGTGCTCCAGCTCGGAACTGGGTGCTCCAGCCCGGAACTGGGTGCTCCAGCCCGGAACTGGGTGCTCCAGCTCGGAACTGGGTGCTCCAGCTCAGAACTGGGTGCTCCAGCCCAGAACTGGGTGCTCCAGCCCAGAACTGGGTGCTCCAGCTCAGAACTGGGTGCTCCAGCCCAGAACTGGGTGCTCCAGCCCAGAACTGGGTGCTCCAGCGCAGAACTGGGTGCTCCAGCCCGGAACTGGGTGCTCCAGCCCGGAACTGGGTGCTCCAGCTCAGAACTGGGTGCTCCAGCTCAGAACTGGGTGCTCCAGCGCAGAACTGGGTGCTCCAGCCCAGAACTGGGTGCCACTGCTCAGAACTGGGTGCTCCAGCCCGGAACTGGGTGCTCCAGCGCAGAACTGGGTGCTCCAGCCCAGAACTGGGTGCTGCAGCTCAGAACTGGGTGCTCCAGCCCAGAACTGGGTGCTCCAGCCCGGAACTGGGTGCTCCAGCCCGGAACTGGGTGCTCCAGCCCGGAACTGGGTGCTCCCCTGGACCTTTGCGTGCTCCTGGCTCCCCGAACTCACCCGTGGGCACGCAAGTGAGACTTTGGGTGCTCCTGGGTACCTTTGGGTGCTCAGACTCAGCCTTGGATGCTCACAGGCACCCTCGGGGTGCTCCCGCGCTCTTAAACCCACCCTTTGGGTGTCTTCGGTGCATCTTTGGGTGCCGGAGCCCCCCCTCCCCAGGACCCATGGGTGCTGGTGGGTGCCAGACACCCCAACCTGTGTGTGGGCACCGTGACCGACACGTGTGTGCGTGGGCCTCAACCGGGACTCTTGCGTGCCCCGAACACGCGCGTGACCCCCGACATGCGTGTGGCCCTTCATACGTGTGGGCCGTGCTCCCCAGCCACGCGTGACACGCGTGCCCATGGCCCCAACACGCGTGTGCGCCCCAACACGCGGTGCCTTTGGCCTCTGAGGGTCCCGCACACGCCACTGACATGTCTGCACAGATGACACGAGACCCGCAGCCCCCCCCAAACCCAACCCCATTGGGGGGTCCCCGTCCCCCTCCCCCCATGTCCCCCGGGGGCTCCCATCTGGCTGGTCTGGATCCCCCCCCCAGCCCCATTTCACCTCCCCCTTTTGCCCTTTGACCCCTCAAACCCTGCCCCCCAGCCGCCCCCCCCCGGGCCCCCTCCGTGTTGAACACAAGTTTTTACATTAAAAACCTGTGCCCCCCCCCCCCCCCGGATTAAACCTTTTGTGTGCGAAAAATGGGGGAGCCGCTCTCTCTGTGGGGGTGCCATGGGTGGGGGGGGACCATGGGTGCTGGGGGAGTTCAATTTGATGGGGGGGTCCCCTCTATCTGCTATGAGGAGCGCGGGGAGGGACTGCTCAACCTCATACGAGCCCGCAGAGAATCACCTCTCTGCACCGCCCCCGGGAAGCGGCCACATGCAAATGAGGTCATTAACATGCAAATGAACTCGTTGAGGCCACCCATGAGAGGGGTGAGGTGGGGGCATAGGGGAGGGGTTATGCTAATGAAGGGAGGGGCTAGTGCTAGCCCTGTTACCAGGAGACGGATGATATGGGGGGGGTGCAGTGGGAAATAGACGAATTGGTATGCAAATAAGGGGGCGGAGCTTGGGGGCGAGACACCATCCCCCCCATCAGGCTCTGGCCTCTGTTAATTACCGCCCCAGGCTAATTACCCCTTCCAGGATAATTGTCCCCCTGCCTTGCTGCATTATGCCCTTCCCATTCCTAGTTATGCGCCTCCTTTGAGTCATGATCCCCCTTCTTGGCCTTGTCCCCCCCACCCCGTTAACTCCTCACCCCCTTCCCGACATAATTACCCCCTCATTTACATACTGCTCCGCTGCCCCAACCTCCTATGGCTCAGTCTCCCCAAGGCCAAGGCCAAGGTGAGGGGGAGTCACATCTGGTCCCTTCCCATGGGACTGGGTGGACATTGGGGGGGGGGGCCCACACCCCCGGGGCCCTTCCCATGCCATTGGGTGGACGTTGGGGTGGTGCCACCCCATCTGCACCCTTCCCACAGAGGGTGGCCCCGCACGTGTGCCCCTTCCCATGCCCCCCCCCTTGCCATGGGCTATATCTGCGGGCCGGCGCCGGTGCCGGCTCTCGGTGGCGATGGCGGCGCTCTTGCTGACGGTGCTGGTGGCGCTGGTGACCGTGGCTGCGGGGCAGTGCCCCGGTGCCTCCGACCTGCAGGCAGCCGATGGGACCCGCGTCTGCGCCCTGCTCTACACCGAAGACAGCGTCTACTACGAGAACTGCTGCCGCGGCAAAGCCCTGGTGGTGGACCCCGGCTCCGACGTGCCCTACATGCCCGTGGGCTACTCGGGGCGCATCTCCTCGCTGGTGGTGGGCACCCGCTGCCAGCTGACCGTGTGGTCCCGCAGCGGCAAGAAGGGCAACAGCATGGTGTTCAAGGCCGGGACGGTGCCGCGGCTGCGGGAGGTGAAACAGGGAAGCTTCGGCAACTGGGATAACGCCATCAAGTCCTACTACTGCACGTGCAACTGAGGAGCGGGCACGGGGCCAGCACCAGGTGGGGAAGAGAAGCCAAGCCAACCCAGGCCAACCCAAGCCAACCCAGGCCAACCCAAGCCAACCCAGGCCAACCCAAGCCAACCCAGGCCAACCCAAGCCGAGGCCAACCCAAGCCAACCGAGGCCAACCCAAGCCAACCCAGGCCAACCCAAGCCAACCGAGGCCAACCCAAGCCAACCCAGGCCAACCCAAGCCAACCGAGGCCAACCCAAGCCAACCCAGGCCAACCCAAGCCAACCCAGGCCAACCCAAGCCAACCGAGGCCAACCCAAGCCAACCGAGGCCAACCCAAGCCAACCCAGGCCAACCCAAGCCAACCCAGGCCAACCCAAGCCAACCAAGGCCAACCCAAGCCGAGGCCAACCCAAGCCAACCGAGGCCAACCCAGGTCAGCCGAGATCAACCCAACTCCACCTGAGCTAATACAAGCTGTTGACAGCCAAGCCAAGGCAACCTGAGGCAATGGGGGTTGAGACACACCAACAGGTCACGTGCTGACACGCGTTGACACGCGTTGACAAGTACTGACACGTGCTGACACGCGTTGACAAGTACTGACACGTGCTGACACGCGTTGACACGCGTTGACAAGTACTGACACGCGTTGACACGCGTTGACAAGTACTGACACGGCTTGACGTGGCACTGCCTCCCCCCTCCCCCCAACCCAACCCAACCCCCCCCCAGTCTCAACTAATAAAAGAGCTCCAGCAGCTCCCGCCTCCCCAGTGCCTTACTGGGAGCTGGGGGGTGGGAAGTGGGGTCCCCCCCGTCACCCCACACGGTGACACGTCCGCCAGCTCCGCACACGCATGTGACCCAACACGTGTGTGACCAATCACGCGTGTCCATCCCGCTAAAGAAGGTACTCGCCACAGCGCTGTCTCCAAAAGGACAAGTGGAATCTTGGGGGGCCCCCCCCATGTGCCGGCCCCGGGGCCCCCCCAAACCGTGGCGCTACAAAACGACAATATAAATAGCTTTAAAAAACAAAATGGGGGGAAAAAACCCACCCAACCCCCCCCCCCCCAAGATCCATGTTTGGAGTGGGGGAACCCCAAGATCCATGTTTGGGGTGAGGAGACCCCCAACCCACATGTAGGGTGGGGGACCCCCTGAATCAGTAGTGTGGTCATAGGGGTGGAGTTTGGGGGTGTCCCACCCCGCTTTGGAGACACCGCAGGGGTGGATGGGGCTAAAAAAGTGTGGTTGAGAAGAAGGAGGAAGTTGGGGCCTCCACCAAATGGCTCTCCAAGGCTGAGGAGGCCCCCCCCGGCCCCCCAAGGCTGCGGTGGGGCTGCTCACGGGGGCTTGCCCCCTCCCTCAGTAGTACGTGTGCTCCGGGGGCCACCAAGCAGCGCCCCGGCGCGGTGAGGATGAGGACGGTGGCGGCGGCGGCCTCACCGCAGGCGGTTCTGGCGCATGAGGGGCACGATGGCCGAGGGGGGCCCTGCCTTGCCCAGGAACGGGTGCTTCAGCAGCTCGGTGGCCGTGGCGCGGTGGCTTGGGTCCCGCACCAGCATCCGGTCCAGGAAGCCTTTGAGGGATGGAGAAACCTAGGGACAAGGCGCAGAGGTGGTCAGCAGCGCCCCAGAGGGTCATGGGAAGCCCCTTAGAGGGGTGTTGTCATCCCCCCCCATTACCTTATGGATGTTCTTCAGCTTGGGGGGCAGGTTGTCCCGGATCATCTTCATGGCCTTGAGAGGTGGCTCATTGAAGTACGGTGGTTCCCCATCGACCATCTCGATGACCATCACACCCAAGGACCAGATGTCCACCTGTAGAGTGTGGGGGACGTGGTCAATGTGGAGTTAACATGAGGGTTACCCCCCCAAGCCACCCTGAGCCCCCCAAGGCCACCTCTGGTCCATAGGGGAGGCGGGAGATGAGCTCTGGTGCCATCCAATAGGGCGTCCCCACCAGGGACTTGCGGCGCGGGACCTCCTTGTTCACTTGGGCGCAGAAGCCAAAGTCCGAGAGCTTCACCTGGGCACGGGGTGGGAAGGAGGCGGTGAGGATGGGGTCCAGGCTCAGCACCAGAGCCTGGGGGGGGCCCTGCTCACCCGCCCGTCGTGGGTCAGGAGGATGGAGTCGCTCTTGATGTCGCGGTGGATGACGCCCTGGGCGTGCAGGACGGAGAGGGCCTTGAGGACGGCCAAGCAGACGGCGGCGATCTGCTCCTCGCTCATCCTGTGGCAAAGAGGAGGATGGAGGAGACCAAGCAAGGAGGAGGTTGGAGGAGACCAAGCAAGGAGGAGGTTGGAGGGGAGCGAGCAAGGAGGAGGATGGAGGGGAGCAAGCAAGGAGGAGGTTGGAGGGGAGCGAGCAAGGAGGAGGATGGAGGGGACCAAGCAAGGAGGATGTTGGAGGGGAGCGAGCAAGGAGGAGGATGGAGGGGAGCGAGCAAGCAGGAGGATGGAGGGGAGCGAGCAAGGAGGAGGATGGAGGGGAGCGAGCAAGGAGGAGGATGGAGGGGAGCAAGCAAGGAGGAGGATGGAGGAGACCAAGCAAGGAGGAGGTTGGAGGGGAGCGAGCAAGGAGGAGGTTGGAGGGGAGCGAGCAAGGAGGAGGATGGAGGGGAGCAAGCAAGGAGGAGGTTGGAGGGGAGCGAGCAAGGAGGAGGATGGAGGGGAGCAAGCAAGGAGGAGGTTGGAGGGGACCAAGCAAGGAGGAGGATGGAGGGGAGCAAGCAAGGAGGAGGATGGAGGGGAGCAAGCAAGGAGGAGGATGGAGGGGTGCGAGCAAGCAGGAGAATGGAGGGGAGCGAGCAAGCAGGAGGATGGAGGGGAGCAAGCAAGGAGGAGGATGGAGGGCACCAAGCAAGCAGGAGGTTGGGGTCTGCAGGCTGGACAAGGCCCCAGGGGCAGGCGGGGGGGGAAGCGGGGCTGTACCGGGTGTGGGTGACGATGTCCGTCAAGGCGCCACCTTCCAGGAACTCCATGACCACCCAGAGCTCGTCGCCCACCAGGTAGCTGTTGTACATCTCCACCACATTCTCGTGCTGGTAGTCCCTCATGATCACCACCTGCAGAGGGAGCCCCAGAACCAGCGCTGAGCGCTCCCAGCCTCGAGTGAACACAGCCCTGGGTGCTCATGCAAAGCCTTGGGTGCTCTTGAGTGTCTTAAGTGCACCCTTGGGTGCTCAAACCCACCTCTGGGTGCCCCTGGGTGCCAGAATGTACCTCTGGGTGCTCCTGGGTGTTTGAATGCACCCTTGGGTGTTCAAACCCACCTCTGGGTGCCCCTGGGTGCCAGAATGTACCTCTGGGAGCTCCTGGGTGTTTGAATGCACCCTTGGGTGTTCAAACCCAAACCTGGGTGCCAGAATGCACCTCTGAGCGCTCTTGGGTGTTCAACCCCACCCTGGGTGTTCAACCCCACCCTGGGTGCTCAACCCTCCCCTTGGGTGCTCCTGGGCGCCCTCGCGGGGCCCTCACCTCATTGAAGAGCAACTCGCGGCGCTGCTGCTTGCGCAGGTCCATCTTCTTGACGGCCACGAGCTTGCCGGAGCCGCGCACGGTGGCGATGCAGACCACGCCGGTGGAGCCCTCCCCGATCTTGATGAAGTTGTCCAGGTAGGCGCGAGGGTCGCCCGGGTCCACCACCATCTGCAGCGCCGCGCGGAACTGCTCGTGGGACACGCGCTGGGGCTCCCGCTGCGGTGCCCCCCCCGCCGCCGCTGGTGCTGGAGCCGGTGCCGGGCCGGGGGGGGGCTGCCGGGCCAGCTGGGGGTCAGAGGCATGGGGGGTGAGGTGGGGATGGGGGGGTGCCCCCTGGGTGGCGCGGGCTGGGGCTCGGGAGGCGCTGGTGGGGCCGTTGGAGGCCGGCTCCTGCGGGCGGCCCGGTCGCTGCTCTGCCTGCGGATGGAGAGGGGTCAAGCACCAGAACGGGGGGGGGAAGAGGGGGGGAAGGAGGGAGGAGGAGGAGCGGTTGGATGCTTCGGAGACAAGGACAGGGGTGGTGGCTTCAGCCCGTGCTGGTCATAGCTCAAGCCGGGTGGGAAAGACCTTCAAGGGCAGGGAGGGAGGAAGAACTCCAAGTGGAAGAGGTAGATGAGACACTGGGAGGAAGCTCTTCACCCTGAGGGGGGTGGGCTGATGGAGAGGACTTGGGTGCTCCATCCCTGGCAGTGCCCAAAGCCAGGCTGGAACAACCCGCTCTATGGAAGGTGCCCCTGTGGGTTGGAACTGGAGAGCTTAAAACTTCACTTCAGCACTGAAGCATCTGTCAAGGACCCTCATCCCATTGACTGAGCTTCTGCCCCCCTAGCAGCTCAACCTGGTGTCATCCATAGAACCATGGCGTGGTTTGACTTGGAAAGGACCTTGAAATCCATCCAATTCCAAGCCCTGGCTCCCAGTCCCAACCCCTGACGACCACCACTCGCTACCGATCTGCACTGGGCCATGGAGCTGTTGCGCACCACTCTTTGGAGCGCCGAATCCTGCCTCTGCACCAAAAGGCCAGGTAGATCCTCAATGAAGACACTCAAGAGATGAGGCCCTGGGGAGCCGCCCTTCATGGGTTGAAGGTAGGAAGAGGAGGAAGAGCAGTGGCTTGAGGAGGAGGAGGAGCAGCCCCTGGGGGCAGGAGGACGTTACCTGGGGGCCGGGGTCGGTCTCAGCCCGGGGGTAGGTGTTGAAGGCCCGCCCGGTCTGTTGAGCTGTTTTCATCACCCCTTCCGAGATGGGGATGTTGGGGGTGCGGATACTGGGCCCAGAGAGCGGGCGCTTGTCCCGAGGGGACGGGGGGCTGCTCCCACCAGCACCCAAGGTGGACTTGGGGCGCTTCTCAGCGGCTTCGGGGCGCTCCCTCCGCAGCACCCGCTCCTGCTTGGGGTCCCTCTGCAGGGGGGCTTTGGGACAGTCGGGGGGCGGGCGGCCGCCGGGAGCCTGGGGCTGGCCATGGTGCTCCTCCTTGTCCCGAGGTCTCTCCTTGCCCTGCTCTAGCTCAGTCCCGGCCCCGGGGCGGCTCTTCCTGCTCCTCCCGGCATCGTCCTGGGAGAGGCCGTTCTCATGGTGGAGCTGGTGGCGGCGGGGCGGGAAGGGGGGGCTGTCCCTGCGCAGGGAATTGGAACGGGACACGGACATGTTCTCAAACTCATCCAGGAGCCAGGTCAAGGAGCCCTCCTTGGAGGCTTTGCTGCCCCGGACGATGGTCTTGGAGGAGGACGAGGGGCGGGAATGACGGAGACGGACACAAAGGAAACAAAAAAAAGGGGGGGGGAGAAAATAAAAATGAAGCATGAAAATGGGATGTTGGGGTGGGGACGGGGTCACACGGAGGGGACACGGGGAGGAGAGACGCTGGGGGATGAACCCCAGCAACGCTCCTGCCCTGGGTGTTGGTGGTGGAGATGGATGGAGGTGGGGGGTCAAGGGAGTGATCCCAGCTCTTGGAAAGGGATCTTAGAGGCAGCGAAGGGTGAGGAGCAAACCCACCCTCAAAGAGTGAGGAGGAAGAGGAGGAGAAAGCCTGCACTGATCCCCTCCTCTTCCTCCTCCTCCCACCAAGGCCTCTCACAAGGGTGAAGGTGGGGAAGGGCTGGTGGCCAACAAGGCAACACGAGGGTGCTGGAGAACACACAGGGATGGGGATGGGGCAGCTGTGGCTCTGCTGGGGCTTTCCTGGTGCCCACTGGGAGAAGCTTCCAGCCCTGCTGGAGCAGGGAATGGGTTGGATGTGCCCGCTGGAGACCAGCCTGCTCCTGGCAGCCCGAAAGGACGAGGAGCCCCAGCAGCAGCCGTCCCCAAGCGCAGGGAGCTGCCTACCTTCTGGGAAGCGTGCTGGATGGTGGTGATGCAGCCGGGGTCTACCAGGGGCTTGGGCCGCTTGGCCGACTCCTCGATGAGGCCCTGCCATTGCCGCGGCAGCCCCGTGAACCTCTGCTCGTGCTGGTCGTAGCCCGTGTGCACGCGGTGCTCGAAGTTGGAGGGGGCCGAGATCTCCAAACGCTTCTTCTTCTTGGAGAACATGGCGAGGAGCTGGGCTGGAAGGGGGGGATGGATCAGGGAGTCCTGGAACGGGGAGGACCGCAGGGCTCCAGCCCACAGGCTCCATGGGGCAGCCTGCTCCAGGCTTCAGCCGCCACCCTCAGAGGGATTCCCTGCCCTTATCCCACCCAACCCCTCCCGATGGAAGCTGCTTTTCCTCCTCCCGTCCCTACAGGCTCCCGGAGAAGGCCCTCTCCGAGCCCCCTTCCAGAACCCTCTCCAGCCCCTCTGTGCCCATGGCCAGGGTGGATCTGCACCGGTTTTCCTGGTGGGAACACCCGCAGCCGGTACAATGGGGCTTGTTTATCCCAGGGAAGCGCAGGCTGGAGCCGGGAGCGTTGGGAACCGCCCCCCCCCCCCATCAAGAATTCCAGAGCAGGGGAACTAAAGCATTCCAGGAGCTCCAGCTGAAGCCACCACCTCAGGGTGAAGAACCAGGCCCCAGCTGCGGATCCCACAGGATCCTTCCCAGCACCACAACCCCCTGCTCCTTCCAGCTGGGAAGCCCTTTCCCCCACTGCCAAAGGGCTCTCCTGCTTTCCAACGCCCCCAGGACAGGATCCTAAGGTGTTTGGGATCCACATCCCACATCCGCAGCTCGCTGCAGATCCCACCAATGGCACTGTCAGGACCCTGTTACCCGGGGAGGCTGGGAATGGGTCAGGAATGGGTGAAGGGAAGGGAAATCCCAGCCAGGAGGTGGGGAGAGAGCAGAGTGGATTTGAGCCGGGAACCAGTGAGGCAGCACAAGCTGGAACAAAGCAGCCTCCGGGAGGGAGGCCGGGGACCAGGAACAAGGAAGGAAGGAGAGGGAAAGGGCAGGGAAGAGCTGGAAGAACCCAGCCCTGTTGCCCAAGGGGCTGCAGGGAACCTGGAGAGGGGATGAGGAGGAGCAGCTCTAACGGGAAGACCTGGATGGGGGACGGGGAGGGACGGCAGTGGGACACTGGGATGAAGAGGGAAGGTTTGGATGCCCCTGGATCCCTGGCAGTGCCCAAAGCCAGGCTCCATAGAGAACATTCCTGTGGCTTGAAAGCGGAGGAGCTTTAAGGTCCTTCCCCCCCATCCATGACTCCATGCTCCTATCCCAAAGGCAAAGGCTCAGCCCCATCCCCTTTGATTTGGTAATGGCCTCCTCAGCCCTTCCGAGTTCCCCCATTCCCCAGGGCTGGAAGCTGGAAGGAGGCTCCCGGGCGCCGCTGGTTGGACTGGCCCGGCCGGCTTTGCACAACCCAGCCTTGGGAGAGGCGGCCTCCGAGGGAGCTCGGCGCGCCGGGAATGGGAGCGGGAGCAGGAGCAGGAGCAGGGTCTGGGGGGGACTCGGAGCCGCGTTATCCCTGCGCTGAGCTCAACGGGAATCCGGGAATGCAAAGCACGCGGAGAAGCCCTGCACAGGGGCCTCGGTGCCTTTCATCCTCTTGTCCCCAAGGAGAACTTCCGAAACTTGGGACTTCAGAGCTTCAGCTTGGCACCAGGTTAACCCTGGGGGTCCTGCCATAGGATCCTGCCTCTTCTCCCACCTCCCCTCAGGGAATTCCAGCTTCTCCAAGGTGATGGAGGGCTCCGGGGTCCTCAGAGCAGCCGGGAGGAAAGGATCCGAGTCCCTCGTGCAGGAAGGGAGAGGAGGAACCCACGCTGGAGCGGATGGGAGCTTCCATGGAACGTCAGGCAGGTTTGGGTCGGAAAGGACCCCCAAGCTCATTGCAAGCCACGGGCAGGGACAGCCTCCATTGGCCGTTCCAGGGATGGGGCATCCAAACCTTCTCCATTCAACCCCGCATGCCCCCATCCTCATGGAGACGAGCTTCTTCCCAAGCTCCCATCCTCACAGGACAGAATTCCCAGGATCCAGGACAAACGATGGGCGGCGAGAGCTCGGCCTTGGTTTAAATCCCGTTTGTGATTGCCCTCAGCCACCCCCCCCCATGTCCTGCTATGGATGAGCCCACCCCAGAACCCCTGCAGCCCCCTCGGCTCCTTGAGGCCAAACTCCATGGGTTCGAGGGAAAACCCAACCGAGGAGCGAATCCCGCTCTTCCCGATGAGCCCAAAGAGAGGGGAAAGCCCCATTTCCACAGAGCCAGCGGGTTGCGAGCACGAGGGGCTGGGGGTGCCCCCATTTCCATGCTGCAGCAACGCGAGGAAGGCGCCATCCCCCGGTTTTCCACCCTCCGGAGCCTCCCCCCTGCTCCAGCAGGGAACCATCCCACAGCACACACGGGATAAGGACGTCCGGAGCCTCCCGGTGAACGCTTCACCCCCGTTTCCTACCTGTGGAGAAGGGGAGGCTCTGCCCAGCTCAGCGCAGCATCGCGGGGTCCCCGGGGGAAGTCACTGCAGGGACACAAGGCAATTCCATAAGGGAATTCCATAAGGAAGCCTCAGGCCCCTTCCCCTCAGGCCCCCGGGCCCGCTCACCCCTCACCACGGGCCCGACGCTGCCGCTGCCCCCCCCACGCAGCTCACTCGGCCGCCGCCATCTTGCGATCGAGCCACATCCGGGCAATCCGCCCTACCCGCGTTGCCTTGGCGACAAGCACCGCCCCCTGCGGGGGCGGGGATTGGTTGAGGGGGGCGTGGGCGCCGAAGGGGATTGGTGGAGAGGGAAAGAAGGGCGGGGCATCGGTGCGGCGCTGAAGGCGGGTGTTAAAGGAGGAGCAGCCAATCACAGAGAGCAAAGCTGGAGATTGGCGTTGGTGCTGGGCAATCAGAGCGCGGAGAGGATGCGGCTGAAGGGGCGCAGTAAGATGGCGGCGCTCTGAGGTGAGGGCGGCTCAGCCGCCGATGCCCGCTGCGGGCCCGCCCCGGGGCAGCGCTCACCTCCCGCTTTCCCCCCACAGACCCCGCCGGTTCCCTGCGCCCTCCCGAAGGATGTCGCTCCGCGCTCTGCTGAGGGCCGTGGCGTCGCTGCGCGGCTGCGGTGCGTATCCCTCCTCCCCGTCCCCTCCCCGGAGGTCCCGCAACGTCTGAGCCCCGCTCTCCTCCGCAGCCGCTCCCGGGGGCCTGCAACCCGCCGCCGGTATGGCCACGCTGAACCAGATGCACCGGCAAGGCCGGCCCAGGCCGCCTCCTCCGAAGCTGGGCGCCACGTTCGGGCGGCCGCAGATCAAGGGGGTGGTGATTAAAAACCTGATCCGAAAGCCCAAAAAACCCAACTCGGCGAACCGCAAATGCGTCCGGGTGCGGCTGAGCAACGGCAAGGAGGCGGTGTGCTTCGTTCCCGGCGAGGGCCACAACCTGCAGGAGCACCACGTCGTGCTGGTGCAGGGCGGCCGCACGCAGGACCTGCCCGGCGTGAAGCTCACCGTCGTGCGGGGCAAGTACGACTGTGCCCATGTCCAGAAGAAGAAGTGAGAAGGGAAGGAAGGGGATGGGGATGGAGCCTGCTGTGCCCCCAGGGGATGGAGGGAGAGCGCCTCCATTAAAGGCTGTTGTGTGGATCTGGACTGCTGCTGAGAGGGCCTGGGGCGATGGGGGGGACGTGGGAAGGGGGCTGCGGGCACCGGGATTGGCAATGGGGGCACTGGGAAGGGCGCTTGAGGGAGGGCGGGTGTCCAGGGCCGGTAGGTAACGCGGTGGGGGCATGCGTTAGAGGGCGTGGCCACGCTTTGGCCCGCCCCTTCCGGCACGTGACGCACGCCAGACGTCCAAGATGGCGGCGCCCAGGGCGCTGGCTGCAGCTCGGCGGGCGGCTGCGCGGGGGTGGCGCGGTGCGGGGGGGGGCGGTGGGGGTCCCGGGGGGGCGGTCCCGGGCCCGGTGCGGAGCCGCCTGTACGAGCACGTCCGCGAGGGCCGGAGCGCGCGGCCGCAGCTGGAAGTGTCGGCGCTGAGCGAGCGGGAGCTGGAGCGGCGGCAGGGCCCGCTGCGGGGGCGCGACCTGCGCGAGATCGTGAGCGGGGCGGGGCCTCGGGGAGGGGGCACGGTCTCGTTTGGGGGGGCGGGGCTCAAACGGCAGGGGGTGTGGTTACCTTAGGCTCCGCCCACAGGTGCAGACGTGGACTCGGTTGCGGGACGTTCGCGCCGCCATCGCCCGCCTGGAGGATGAAAAGGGACAAGTGGCCCGAGGGGTGCAGGCCCTGATGGTGAGAGACAGTGTGCCCCACAGCACCCCATAGTGCCCCACAGCGTGCCCCACAGCACCCCATAGTGCCCCACAACGTGCCCCAGAGCACCCACAGTGCCCCACAGTGTGCCCCACAGCACCCCATAGTGCCCCACAGTGTGCCCCAGAGCACCCATAGTGCTCCACAGCGTGCCCCACAGCACCCCATAGTGCCCCACAACGTGCCCCACAGCACCCCATAGTGCCCCACAGTGTGCTGCACAGCACCCCAGAGTGCTGCACATCCGCCCTGCAGTGCCCCACAGCAGCCCACATTGCTCCTTATCCACTCTGTAGTCCTCTTCAGCCACCCAACAGTGCCCCATGGTACTCCACATATACTCCATATCCACCCCACAGTGCCCCATGGCACCCCATATTACTTCACATCCACCCCATAGCGCTCCACAGTGCCCCACAGCGCTCCATATCCACCCCACTGCACCCCACATCCGTGCCACAGCACCGCATAGTTCCGCATAGCCCCCCCCCCTTGTATTTCATCTCTTTCCCTCTCTCCACAGGCAGCCCACGACAGACAGACAGTGGAGGCGGTAGGACACAGCAGAGGGGGGGTCCCTGCTCCCAGCTGTGGGGTGCAGGCGGCTTGGGGAGGGGGTTTAAACCCCCATTTACCCCCCAGCACCGTGTCCCCCCAGCTACCTGCCTATGGAGCGCTCCGGGCCCGCGGGCGCCAGATCCGGCTGGAGCTGCAGGAGCTGCTGGCCCAGGAGGCCTCCCTGGATGAGAGCTTCTATCTGAGAGCCCTGCAGCTCCCCAACAGCACCCACCCCGAGGTGGTGAGTGCGGAGAGGGGGGGGGGACACTCTATCGTGGTGTCATCCCCACCCCCGACACCCTCTGTACCCCTCTGAAACAGCCCATCGGGGATGAGAGCCAGGCCCGAGTGCTGGAGGTGGTGGGGGAGAAACCAGGTAAGGGGGGGTTGAAGAGGAGGAGGGCTGGGGGGGGAGGAAGGCTCTAACGGGAAGTAGAGGAGGGTCTGTGGGGTGATGAAGGCTCCTTCTCTTCCAATGTCCACCAGTGTTTGACTTCAAGCCGAAGGGGCACTTGGAGCTGGGCGAGGGGCTGGACATCATCCGGCAGCGGTGAGCGCTGACACACGTGGCAAACGCATGGAACACACGTGACACGTGTGGTACAAACGCGGCACACACGTGACACGTGTGGCACCCGTGTGGTACACGTGACACGCGTGGCGCACACGTGGCACACACGTGGTACAAACGCGGCACACACGTGACACATGCGTGGCACACACGTGACACATGCGTGGCACACACGTGACACATGCGTGGCACACACGTGACACATGCGTGGCACACACGTGACACATGCGTGGCACACACGTGACACATGCGTGGCACACACGTGACACATGCGTGGCACACACGTGACACACAGGTGTCCCCGCAGGCGCCTCTCGCACGTTTCTGGCCATCGCTCCTATTACCTGTGCGGGGCTGCGGCGCTGCTGGAGCACGCCCTGGTTCGCTTCGCCATGGCCAAGCTGCTCAGCAAGGTCAGGAGGGGGCACACGAGGCGTTGGGGTCCCCACCAGGCTCTGGGGGGGCCCCTCCAGGCTTTGGGCTCCCTGCACACCCCTTATTTCTCCCCCCCCCCCAGGGCTTCCTCCCCATGACAGTCCCGGACCTGCTGCGCGGCGCTGTCTTTGTGAGTGCCCCCCATCCCCTTCCATTCACCGCCGTGTCCCCCCCATTTACTCCTTCCCTGTGTGGGTCCCCCCCCAGACCCCTCCGTGCTTCCCATTGCAGGAGGGCTGTGGGATGCAGCTGCACCTCAGCCCCTCGCCCGTGTACAGCATCGACCCCGCGCGCTTCGAGGACCTGAGCCTGGCTGGGACGGCCGAGGTTGGCATCGCTGGTGAGCAGCGGGGGGGGTCCCTGGGGTTAACGGGGGGCCGGGGGACCCCACTGATCCCATCGCTCTGCTCCAGGTTACTTCATGGACCACGCGGTGCGGCTGCAGGATTTACCCATTAGGTTTGGGGGATCCCCTCCCTGTGCTAACATGGGGCACTCTGGGGATTCCCATCGCTCATAAGAGGAGTTTTGGGGTCCCCCTGCACTAATGGGGGGGCTTTGGGGACCCCCCCCATAACCGGGTCCCCCTTTCCCCACACAGGGTTGTCTGCTCCAGCACTTGCTACCGCGCTGAGACAGACACGGGGCGGGAGCCGTGGGGGCTGTACCGGGTGCACCAGTTCACCAAGGTACTGGGCAGCCTGGGAGGGGAAGGCCTGACCCCCCGGGGGGCGGTGTTGGGGTGACCCTGGGGGGGTCCCATCAGTATTGGGGTCCCTTTGCCTACCCATAGGTGGAGATGTTTGGGGTGACAGCAGCCGAGAGCGGGGCTGAGAGCGGGGCGCTGCTGGCCGAGTTCCTGGCAATGCAGAAGGAGATCTTCTCCGAGCTGGGCCTCCATTACCGGTGAGGGCAAAGTCGGGGGGTCCCCAAAGCACCCCCAAACCCTCCCATATCGCTTCACCACCCCCCCCCCCATGTTCTGCCATTGTTCTCCCTCAGTGTCCTGGACATGCCCACGGAGGAGCTGGGGCTCCCTGCCTACCGCAAGTTCGACATCGAGGCCTGGATGCCAGGACGGGGCAAATATGGGGAGGTGAGAACGTGGGGGGGGCACCTCAAAACCCGGGGGGTTCCCCCTTTATTGGGGGGTCCCCAAATTCTTCTGCTCCCCCTTTAGATCTCCAGTGCTTCCAACTGCACCGATTATCAGAGCCGGCGCCTCAACATCATGTACAGCGATGGGGCCGGGCAGCTGCGCCACGCGCACACAGTGGGTGCTGGGGGGTGGCGGGGAGAAGGGGGGCAAATTCGGGGTCCCCTTCTGGCCCCCCATAACTCCCCCGGCCCCCCCGTAGGTGAATGGCACAGCCTGTGCCGTGTCCCGCATGCTCATTGCCCTCTTGGAGTGCAACCAGCTACCGGTGAGTGATGGTTGGTGGGGTTTTGGGGTGCCCTACCCCGGTTTTGGGGTGCGGGGGGGGGTCTCACCCTATGCTGTATCCCCAGGATGGCCGCGTGCGGGTGCCCCCGGCCCTACAGCCCCTGGTGGGGCTGGATGTGATTCCCCGGCCCCCGGCACCACGGCTGCGCTACATTGGCCCCAATCAGCCTGGGGGGGGACCCTGAGGAGCCCCCAAAGCGTGGGGCAGACCCCTCAGTGGCCCCCGGCGATGGGGACATGGGACACATGTGGACATGCATGGAGCCGTGTCCTGGGGACACCGGATACACGGGATCCCCTGGAATAAAGCTCACGGAGCGCACGGGCTGCTCCATGCTTCCCACGTGTGTTTGAACGTGCACGTGCAGAGAACACGGATCCACGCGCGTTTGCTTGTGGCATCACCCCAATGAAGTGGGGGGGAGTCCCAGGGGTTGGGATCCCCCAGCTGATGCTGGGAGGAGGAAGAAGAGGGGGAGGCTGTGAGAAGGCCGAAGGCTCCTTTTATTGTACAATTCATATAAATTCTCTATCGCTACCACCAGGACGGGGGGGGGGATACTGGGGGGGAGCTCCCCTAAAGTCCAGGCAGCCAGAGTAGGAGCCCCCAGATAAATAGGGGGAGACCTGGGGGGAGGGGGTTCAGTCCATGCAGAGACTGCTGTTGATGACGATGTCGTCATATTCCTCTTCCTCTTCTTCCTCCTCCTCTTCCTCCTTGAGGGGGAATGACACCGAGAGCTCAGCATCCCCCCCCGACTTGGGAGGGGGAAAGAGGGGGTTTGGAGGCTAAGATAGGCATTGGGGGGGGGGGAAGAATCATTTGGGAAGGGGAGAGAGGCGTTTTGGGGCACTCACATCGCTGCTGTCCCCATCCTCGTCGCTGGAGGGGTCCTGCGCCCCGAAGCGCCGCAGCAGGGGGGGCAGGCGGGGGTCGGGCCGGTGCCGGGCGCTGTACAGCGCCGTGTACCCCACATACATGCGGGCGCCGGGATCGGCTCCGGCGCAGAGCAGGACCTCGGCCACCTCCGGGCTCTGCGCTTCCACCGCCAAGTGCAGGGGGCTGCGGCCACAGCTGGGCTCCTTTGGCACAAGCAGAGGTTGGGGGGGGTTAAAGGACCCCCAGTGCTTCCCCCCCCCCCCCGCTCTGGTCCTCGCTCTGGCTCTCACCGGTTTGTTGAGGTCGGCGCCAGCGCTCAGCAGCAGCTCCACCATCTCCACGTCCTTGCGCAGCACCGCGATGTGCAGCGGGGTGTAACCTGAATGAGGATGGGGCCTGGGGCTGTCACTGCGGGTACCCCCCCCCACTTTCCCAACCTCCGGACCCCATCCCCTATCCCGCACCGTCGTAGTTGATGCCGTCGAGCTGAGCCCTCGCCTCGGGCTCGGTGCAAGGGGGGTGCCCGCTGAGCAGGAGGCGGGCGCAGGCCGGGTGACCTTCGCGGCAGGCGAGGTGCAGCGCCGTGTGCCCCCCCCGCTCCTGCACCCCCAGCCCCGCGCCGGCCGCACGCAACTTCCGCACGAAGCTCTCCAGGCCTAGGATGACAGCGAGGTGCAGCGCGGTCTGCGGGCACAGAGACCCCGTCAGGAACTGCGGGACCCGCCCGGGTACGACCCCTGCTCTCCCCCCCCACCCCGCACCTGCCCCAGGTCGTTCTGCAGGTCCAGGTACTCCGTGCCCGCCGTGTGCTGCAGGATGGAGTCCAGGAACGCCTCGTGCTCGTGGATAACGGCCAAGTGCAGCGCCCTAGGGGGGCACGGGAGGACGGGACACGATGTGGGGGGGGGGTCCCCGTTAAGCCCCGGGTGCGTGCGAGGGACCCGGGGTGGGTGTCCCGCATCCCCAGCACTCACGTGTCTCCGTCCTCCGTGAGGAAGCCCAGGACGTGCCGGAGCCAAGCGCCGGGCTCCGCGCTGGGGGACGCGGCCTCCGCGGGTTCCTCGGGCCCGGGGCTGGTGGGCAGCGGCCCCAGCGCCCCCTCGCCGAGCGAGCCCAGGCCGCTGTCGCACCACTCCTCGGCCTCCGCCCGCTTCACGTCGCCCGGGGGCGGCGGCGCCTCCGCGGCCGCCATCGGGGCCGGGCTGAGGCCGCGTCAGGCGGGAGCCGCCATCGAGGAGCCGCCGCCGGCGCCGGGAATCCCCCGACGGGCCCTGCCGTGACCCGTAGTTGGCGCAGCACTTCCGGTGGTCTCGGCCAATCAGCGGAGGCGTGGCTCTACGGACAATAGGCGGAACGGTCAGCCAATCAGCTCTGCCCGTCGTGAAAGCCGGGGGCTGCGGCTGCAAGGAAGACGGCGGCTCTCTCAGCCAATCAGCGCTGCCCGCGCGGTGCACGCCGGGAGGTGTGGCTTCTAGGAAGATGGCGGCGCTCTCAGTCACTCAGCCCTGACCGCGCGGTGCACGCCGGGAGGAGTGGCGGGGGCCGCCGCCGCCGCTGCCCATGGCCGACGCGGACGGTACCGGGGGTGAGCGGTGCCAGCGGCAGGGCCTTGGGGACGAGCCCGAGGGGGACGCGGAGTCACCGGTAGGCTTCGGGTCCGTCCCCGCTGCGGCCCTCGCCGGGCCCTCTGCGCCGCCGCTATCCTCTGACCCCCCCCGCGCTGTCCCGCAGGGTTCCGAGCTCGGCGCTTCGGGGGACTCTGACAGTGAGTGGGGGAGGGGGGTGTCCCGCTCCCCGCACACCGCAGGGGGGGGGTCCCGGGGCCTGACCCGGACCCGTTCCTGCAGTGGAGCTGCTGCGGAGCCTCCTGTCCCGGACGCTGGGGCTGGGCGGGGAGAAGCCCGAGAAGGTGCTGGAGGAGCTGACGCTGGAGGGAGTGAGCCGCTTCCTGCGGAGCGAGAGATGTACGGGGGGGGGGCCCCGTGGGGTCCATGGCGGGGTCACCAGCGCCGCGGCCCCCTTTATGTGCCCCCGTTTCCTTCCCCCCCCCAGGCAAGAACGTGGTGTGCATGGTGGGCGCTGGGATCTCCACGGGTGAGTGAGTTGGGGGGGGGGGCTTTCGGGGGGGGTCCCTGACACCCCCTTTCCCCCCCCGCAGCCGCAGGGATCCCCGACTTCCGCTCGCCCGGCACCGGCCTTTACTCGAACCTGCAGAGCTACGACCTCCCCTACCCCGAGGCCATCTTCGAGATCAGCTTCTTCAAGGTAACCCCCCCTCAGCGGCTCGGTTTAGGGGTGCGGGGGCCTTTCCCTTGGAGCCCCCCCAAAGCCTCCTCTCCCCCCCCATAGGAGCACCCTGAGCCTTTCTTCGCCCTGGCGCGGGAGCTCTACCCTGGCCAGTTCAAGGTAACCCCTCCCCTGTACCTCCGGGTTCCCATTCTCCAGTCCCCCCCCCAAACCCTTTGGGCCCCCCCTGACCCTCCTTGCCCCCCCCAGCCCACGCTGTGCCACTACTTCATGCGCCTGCTGCAGGACAAGGGGCTGCTGCTGCGCTGCTACACACAGGTGGGACGCCCCAGCTTGATCCCCAATGGGACTGAGGGGTGCCAAGGGGGGCCCTCAGCATCCCCTGACCCCCCCCCCCGTGCCCGCCCCCCCAGAACATCGACACGCTGGAGCGGGTGGCGGGGCTGGAGCCCGAGCGGCTCGTGGAGGCTCACGGCTCCTTCTTCACCTCGCACTGCCTGCGCCCCGGCTGCCGGCGCCAGTACGGGCTGCCCTGGATGAGGGGTGCGATGGGGGGGGACATGGGGGGAAGTGGGGCTGGGGGTGGCCGTAGGAATGGATCCTACTGAGAGCTGGAACCCCTCCCCATGTACCTTGATCCCCCCAAGCTCTTCTGTGCTTCTCCCATGTGCCCCCATATTCCTCTGCCGGCTCCATGTACCCCTGGAGCTCTCGTGCCCCCCCATGCCCCCCACATCCCCCCCATGCCCCCACCTCTTGCAGAGCGCATCTTCTCCTCGCTGGTGCCCAAGTGTGAGCAGTGCCAGGGCCTGGTGAAACCCGGTGAGCTGAGGGAGCAGGGGACCCCCCCCAACCCTGATACTGGCCCCCCCCCGGTCCTTAGGGGCTCCCCGAACCTCTGCTCACCTCCCGTCTCCTCCACAGACATCGTGTTCTTTGGGGAGAGTCTCCCTTCTCGCTTCTTCACTCTCCTGCAGTCGGTGAGTTTGGGGGGTCTTGGAGCCCCCCCTCCCCATTCCCTGCATTAGGATTTGGGACACACACACACACCCGCCCCTCCTCCCTTCCTGACACCCCCTTTTCCCCCCCAGGACTTCCAACAGGTCGATCTGCTCATCATCATGGGCACCTCGCTGCAGGTGCAGCCCTTCGCCTCCCTCGTCAGCAGGTTGGGGACCCTCAGACTCCCCCCCCCGACCTCCTTTAACTTCCTCCAACCCCTTTCAACTTCCTCCTACTCTGCCTATAACCACTTCTTGTTCCCCCCCATAGGGTCCCCACCAACACCCCCCGGCTCCTCATCAACAAGGAAAAGACAGGGCAGGTGAGAAATAGGGCGGGGGAATGCTAAAACTGGGGTGTGGGGAGGTGTAGATGGGGTTTGGGGGGCTCTTGGGAGTCAAGAGCTGTTGTGTCCTCCCCATTCAATGTGTGTCCCCCACCAGAGTGACCCCCTTATGTCCCTCATGGGCTTTGGCTGTGGCATGGACTTTGATTCAGACAAGGCTTATAGGTAAGGGGGGCCTGGGAGGCTCGTGGGGGGGTTCTCCCCCCACCCCAGCATGTTTTGGGGACCCCCCTTTGCCTGCACCCCCCCCGCAGGGACGTGGCTTGGCTGGGGGAGTGTGACCAGGGGTGCCTGGAACTGGCGGAGCTGCTGGGATGGAAGGTACTTGCCACCCCCATAGCGACTTGGGGACCCCCCCTGTTCATTTGGGGAGAGCCCCACCTCTGCACCCCCATTCACTCGCTGTGTCCCCCCCCAACAGAAGGAGCTGGAGGAGCTGGTGAGGAAGGAACACGCTGCCATCGATGCCAAAGCCACCCAGGGGGGCAAAAGCAAGGCCGAGGGGGGCAGCCAGGACCCCCCACCATCACCTGGGGGGGGCACTGAGACCCCCCCCCATTGACCCAGTGGGGCTGTGGCATTAAATGGGGGGTTCTCAGCACTGGCTGTTGCCTTTTTGGAGGTCTGGGGGAGGGAATGAGGGGTTTGGGCCCCCCCCAGTGTGTGTGGGGGGGTGTCGCAGTGCATGGGGGTGACCGCGGTGGAGGGGTCCATTGGGATGGGAAAGGGGGTTGTTCCTGTTCCCGGTTTTTGTGCAATAAAACCTTCCTATTCTTACATTTTGGCTATGTCCTGGGGTGTCCATACCCGTTTTTGGAGTGTCCATACCCGTTTTGGGATGGCCCTTCCTGTTTTTTGAGTGTCCGTACGCGTTTTGGGGTGGCCCTTCCCGTTTTTTGAGTGTCCGTCGCTGTTTTTGGGATGGCCGAACCCATTTTGGGGTGTCTGTACCCGTTTTGGGGTGGCCCTTCCCATTTTTGGGATGTTCGTACCCGTTTTAGGGATGGCTAAGCCCATTTTGGGGTGTCTGTACCCATTTTCGGGATGTCCGTACCCATTTTGGGGTGTCTGTACCCGTTTTCGGGATGGCCGAACCCATTTTGGGGTGACTTTACCCGTTTTCGGGATGCCCGTACCCATTTTGGGGTGTCTGTACCCGTTTAGAGATATCTGTAACCGTTTTGGGGGCGTGTACCCTTGTTGAGCGCGGTGGGCGGGGCTAGCGCCATCATGCACCGGCTAATTCGAAGTGAAAGTTGAGAGAGAAGGCCAATCAGGGCCTGGAGCGGCAGACGCGAGAGCTGATAGGCAGGTGAATTTCCCAATGGGCGAGGGGAGAGGCTGAAGGGGTTGAACGGGTCATAAAAGGAGCCAATCAGAGCCAAGGGAGTTGATTTGCGTTGGCGCTGACCAATAGCCTGGAGGAGGCGTCGGGCGGGGGCGGAGCCCGAGTGCTGCACCTTGAAGAAGGGCGGGGCGCCGCATGGACAGGCAGCGCCTATACCCAATCAGCTCGGTGGGCGGGCGGACAGGCGCCCCTTGCACCTAATAGAAGGCTGCAGTGCAGTTGACGGGCAGAGAAGCGGGCGAATTAGCGCGGGCTCATCCGGCCGACGAGCCCAATGGCGGCGGAGAGCGGGGCCGGTGGCGGAGCGGAGCCAATGGGATGAGAGTCTCGCCTTGAGTGGCAGTGGGGCGGGCCAATAGGGGCGTGGCGGAGGCGGCGCGGCGGACAGAGGCGCCATGTCGCGGCGGCGGTGGAGGGGCCCGCAGAGCGCTGAGGGCAGCGGCCGCGGGTCCGACATGGGGAAGATGGCGGCGGGCGGCGGCGGCGGCGGCGGCGGCTCCGGCCGCTACTACGGCGATGGCGGCCGAGCTCCCAAGCGCCAGAAGACCGAGAACGCGGAGCCGCCGCCGCACGGGCCTGGAGGGCCGGGGGGGGTTGGCGGAGGGCCCGGAGCCGCCGGAGCGGTGAGAGGCGGCCGGGGGGGGGGGGGGCGGGTAGAGCGGCCCGGGGAGATAAAACGGGGCCTGGGGAGCAGGAGGGGACCGAGGGGGGGTAAAACGGGGATGAGGAGGTCGAAAACGGGGCGAGAAATAAAATGGGGCTCTAGGGGTGAAAAACGGGGCCGGGACGGGGGGGGGAACGGACAAGATATGCCCTGAGGTGACCCCAGGGCCCAAAGCGGCCCGCGTGATGCACACGCAGCTGGGAGCCGAGGCCACGGTGATGGGCGCAGGGCGGTTCAGGCCGCGCCGCTGGGTTCTGCTGAGCCGAGGCCTCGGTTCCTAGCAGGAGAACTACGATGACCCCCACAAGACCCCGGCGTCCCCCGTGGTGCACATCAGGGGCCTGATCGACGGCGTCGTGGAGGCTGATCTGGTGGAGGCCCTGCAGGAGTTCGGGCCCATCAGGTGAGGAGCCGGCCCCGGGGCGGTGTTCGGCGGTAGTGGCCCGGTGGTGGGGATGCAGTGGTTGTGCTGCCTCTTCCAGCTACGTGGTGGTGATGCCCAAGAAGAGACAAGCCCTGGTGGAGTTCGAGGACATCCTCGGCGCTTGCAACGCTGTCAACTACGCTGCCGACAACCAGATCTACATCGCCGGGCACCCGGCCTTTGTCAACTACTCCACCAGCCAGAAGATCTCCCGCCCCGGAGACACGGATGATTCCCGGGGCGTCAACAACGTGCTGCTCTTCACCATCCTCAACCCCATCTACTCCATTACCACGGTGGGTGATTGCTCCACAAAGGGGGATGTGGAGCCACAGCGGGGCTGGGTCAGCCTGGAGAAGAGAAGGGGAGACCTTAGAGCAGCTCCAGTGCCTAAAGGGTCCGCAGGGAAGCTGGAGAGGGGCTTGGGACAAAGGATGGAGGGGATGAGAAGAAGCAGCTTCGGGGGGGAAGGGGGAGGAGTTGGATGGGATACTGGGAGGAAGTTCTTTGCTCTGAGGGTGGGGGGACACTGGGATAGGTTGAATAGCGGTGGTTGGGTTCAAGGCCGGGTTGGACGGGACTTGGAGCAATCTGGTGGGTTGGAGCTAGATGATCTTCAATCCCTTCCATCCCGTTCCATGCTCTCTGCTGCTTTGGAGGGGCTCCCATGGCGCCTCACCCGGGGTTCCTCACACCTCCTCCCCTGTGCCCCCCCCCCCCAGGACGTGCTCTACACCATCTGCAATCCCTGTGGTCCCGTGCAGAGGATTGTTATCTTCAGGAAGAACGGTGTCCAGGCCATGGTGGAATATCCTTCCGTGCTCCAGGGGCTTTGGGGCTGCCTTCACCTGCCGGGGCTTGCTTTGGGCTCCTTTGGCTCCAGGAGCAGGCAGAGATCCCACATAATGAAACTTGAAACCCTCGTTGGTGGGCGCAAACCTCCTTAACCCTCCCCTCCACGTTTGACTCGGTGCAGAGCGCCCAACGCGCCAAAGCGTCCCTCAACGGCGCCGACATCTACTCGGGGTGCTGCACCCTGAAAATTGAGTATGCCAAGGTAAGCAACAGGCACCCATGTGGGGGGGGGGCACTGTCCCCGTTGGGGGGTACCACCCCCCTGCCACTGCTGCATCCCCACCTCCTCCGTCTTCTGCAGCCCACGCGCCTCAATGTGTTCAAGAACGACCAAGACACCTGGGACTACACCAACCCCAACCTCAGCGGACAAGGTAATGGCCACTGAAGCCCCTTGTGCACCTACACTCGGGCACCACGACCCACCCCACCGCATGGCTCATCCCTACCTCTGGAGCCGGCCCCGGGCTCGCCAGGGAGGGGGTCAATGGAGGTGGAAACCCGAGTGGCGGCGGCGGCCCCGGGGAGGTGTTTCTGTGCCTGCGGGGTTCGTTGTGTGCGTTCCTCGGGGATGGACGTCAGGAGGGGGCTGCATCTGCACTGCCACTGCCAGCATGGGGGGGTTGGAAGGGTTTCAGGTGTGTGGGGTGGGGAGTGCCTTTGCTTCCGTGTGTCTGCCCCGCTCGCTGGGTCTCTGTGGGCTTCATGTTCCCAACTGGAATTGCCTAAAACGGAGCTACATGGCGAGGGAGGAATGTGCCTGCCTTTGCTGTGGGCATTGGCAGCCCCTGTAGAAGCAGAAGGGAGACACCAGCTCCCTTGAGCTTGTGGAAGGGGTGGGAAAAGACCCCCACGGCCATTGAAGATCCCCTTTGGAGTCGATGTCTCCACGCTGGGTTGGCCATTGGTGGGCCAGTGCTTTCGCGGGGGGGGGGGGGGGGCAATGGGAAGGGGAAGAATCCCCCCTTTGTGTTCTGAAAGCGGGGTGTGAGCGTCGGGTGCCTTTGATGGGGGGCACTGGGGCGGGCTGGGGGCTGTGGGGCGGGATGCGGAGCGCGGTGGGAGCGGGATTCGCCGACCGCTTTTGGAAGAGGGCTTGAAGGGGGCGCAGCTCCCCCCCTCCTCTTGTTGTGTAGGGTGTGTGGAGCTGGGGGGGGGGCTGCCATAACGTGGCCTTTCCCAGCTCCGAGCAGTCCTTTTGCACGTACACCAGCGGAAAACCCGAGCGGGCGTCACCTTCTTCCGCACATTCCTTCCTCCTCCTCCTCCTCCTCCTGCTCACACCACACAAGTGTAGGAACAAAACCAAAGTGGAGGAAACACGCAGCAGCCAGCAAAAAAAAACAAAACAAAAAAAGCACCCCAAGCAGCACCATGAGCTCATTGCAAGGACACAACCACCATCCAAGGACTCTCCTGCAGCCAAGTGCCACCACATCAGCGCCAAGCGGACAACACCAAAACTAGCCCCAACCCAAATCCCAGCTTAAGGCAAAACTCAGCCCAAAAACATCACACACAAGCCCGTAGGAGGCTGGAGCTGGGTCTGGCTCGAGCCGAGACACATTGTCCATGCTCAGAGGAGACACGCACACGGGACAGAGCTCCACAGAGCCCGACGCACCACACAGTGGCAGGAATGGAGGGACACACTTCTCACCACCCCTTTGTGGCCTCCTTTGGTACCTCCTGAGGAGCAAACAAACCAGCAGCGAGACTTAACGTTTTTTTGCTAAGAAAAAAGAGTGTTTTTTTCTCTTTTTTAAAGTGGAATTGTGGCGGGTTTGGTGCCTTTGGACCTGTGTTTGTGACTCTGAAACCATGTGATGCAGGGTCGCAGTGTTTGTTTGGTGGGACGCCCATCTTTCCCAACTGTCCTAACTCTTGAAGCGTCCAAGGGTAAGAGAAAGACAGCGAGATCATTCCATGTGCCAAAACTGGACCTTGTACTATTGTAAACCCCCCCCTCTATGCTGTAAGTAGCCCCCCAACCCCCCCCTTTCCCCAAGCTTTGTATCCAACTGGGAATAAAGCTCCACGGAAGCGGGAAGGGAACAAGAAGAGCAACTGGATCGGTGCCGCGGTCGTGGTTGATGCCTTGGGCCGTGCTGGCTCCTTGAAGCTGGTTCTGCTGTTGCTTTGCTGCCTGAACCCCCACTTGTTTCGGGGGATCGGGAGGTGTTTTTGCCACTTTAATGACTTAATTAGCAGTAATTCATGTCCTTTATTCTCCTTTCTGTACCTTAATTGTCTGTTAATGAGCAGTATCCCAATGGGGCCTCACCGGACCCCCACTTCCATAGGGCAGCTTGGGGGAGGGGGGAAATGGGCACAGATCCTGGGGGGGTGATGGTGGTGTTGGGCAGGGGGGGGCAGCTCCCAGTAGGGGCCCCCCTCACTCCCCATCCCCACTGGTTGGAGATGGGGGGAATCCACTAAAGCCACCCTGGGGCTGTTGATGGCTGGAGGGGGGTCCACAGCACCTTTGGGAGCGGTGCTGGGACCCCCGTCATCCTCAGACCCCCCCCCATAACCTCTTCTTCTTCCCACAGGAGACCAAGGAGGGAACCCCAACAAGCGCCAACGGCAGCCCCCGCTCCTTGGGGATCACCCTGCGGAATATGGTACGTGTGGGGCTTCAAACCTGCTTCTGCAGGGGGACCCCATAGAGGTGGTGTTGGGAGGGGGGCTCCAACCTCCTCCCAGTGCAGGAGGAGCCCATAGAGATGGGGCTGGGGATCTCCAACCTCCTCCCTGTGCAGGAGGACCCCACGGTGGCTACCACGGGCACTACCACGATGAAGGCTACGGGCCCCCACCGCCCCACTATGAAGGCAGAAGGATGGGCCCTCCAGTTGGGGGGCACCGGCGAGGACCCAGCCGCTATGGTCCCCAGTATGGGCACCCCCCGCCACCACCCCCGCCACCGGAGTACGGGCCCCACGCCGACAGCCCCGTCCTCATGGTCTACGGCTTGGACCAGTCCAAGATGAACTGTGATCGCGTCTTCAACATCTTCTGCCTCTATGGCAACGTTGAGAAGGTCCGGGGGGTGGGTTGGAGGCTTTGGGGGTCTCCCATGGGGGGTTTGGGGTCTTGAGGGGGTGTTTCTGATGCGCCCCATTCCCTTGGCAGGTGAAGTTCATGAAGAGCAAGCCAGGAGCAGCCATGGTGGAGATGGCCGATGGCTACGCCGTGGACAGGGCCATCACCCACCTCAACAACAACTTCATGTTCGGGCAGAAGCTCAACGTGTGGTAGGTGCTGGTTGGGGTGGGGGGCTCGTGGTACCCCCCCCAGTGCCACGCTGACCCCTCCCACCCCTGGCAGTGTCTCCAAGCAGCAGGCCATCATGCCCGGGCAGTCCTACGGGCTGGAGGACGGCTCCTGCAGCTACAAGGACTTCAGTGGCTCCCGCAACAACCGCTTCTCCACCCCGGAGCAGGCAGCCAAGAACCGCATCCAGCACCCCAGCAATGTCCTGCACTTCTTCAATGCGCCCCTCGAGGTCACCGAGGACAACTTCTATGAGGTGGGGCCTCCTCTTCCTCCTCTTCCTCCTCCTCCTCCTCCTCCTCTTCCTTCTGCCATTGCAGGAATTCTCCATTCTCTGTTTTTCATCTTTTCTTCATCCTTCTTGCTGCTCTTTTCCTCCTCTCTTCTTCCCTTTCTTCCTCTTCTTCCTTTTCTTCTGCAGTCTCTTTTGCTCCTCTTCCTTGTTCTTTTTCTCCTTTCTTCTCCAGTCTGTTTGTTCTCTTCCTTGTTCTCTTTTCCTTCCCTTCCTTTTCCTTCTCTTTTTCTCCTGTCTTGGTTCTTGTTCTTCTTGTCATCCTCTTCATTCTCTTCCTTTCCTCCTCCTCTTCCCTTCACTTCCTTTCCCTTCTCTCCCTTTTTCCCCTCTCCTCCTCACCCTTCTCCTCCCTCCCCAGATCTGCGATGAGCTGGGTGTGAAGCGCCCCTCCTCAGTCAAGGTCTTCTCGGGGAAGAGTGAGTATGGGGGGGCCGGGGGGGGCAGCCCGGGGAGCTGCAGGCCATGGCGGGGGCACTGAGGAAGGGGCCCCCTCTTTTCCAGGCGAGCGCAGCTCCTCAGGGCTGCTGGAGTGGGACTCCAAGAGCGATGCCCTCGAGACCCTCGGCTTCCTCAACCACTTCCAGATGAAGAACCCCAGTGAGTGCCCCCCAGCCCCCCCCAAATACACCTCACCCCCATCCACCGGACCCCCATTAACCCCCTGTTCTCTCCCCCACACAGATGGGCCATACCCCTACACGCTCAAGCTCTGCTTCTCCACTGCCCAGCACGCCTCCTAACCAGGACCCTAACAGTGGGGGGTGCCCCCAACCCCCCTAGGACGCCCCCATCCCCTCAGGGGGTCTCTACCCCTCCTTCCCCCCCCTTGTTTTTTTAAGGCTGATCTTCCCTATTTCCTCCCCCTGACTCCCCCCCCATTTTTAAGGCTGTTCGTGTGCTCCCCCCCTTCCCCTTCAATAAAGTCGTTTGGAAAACAACCTGTGCCTCGGGGCGGGAGGCGGGGGATTTCAAATGGGATTTTCACCCATTTCTGCGGTGACTTGGGGGGATTTGGGGCAATTCAAGGTGCGTTTTGGGATGGCGATGCCGGGAATGGGCTTGGAGGTCTCCTCCGTATGCGTCGGTAGGGGGCAGTAACAGAACGCACCGGTCTCGCTGATGAGCGGGAGGGGGAGGCTGCTTGCCGTCACGTGGCCGGAAGCGGCCGGCGCTTCTCCTTCCCGTCTCGCTGCTCCGGCCGCGTTGTAGGACTGATGGCGGCGGTGGCGCTGCGCCTGCTGCGGGGTGGGTACGCGGGGGTCGGAGGCCTGACCTTAGGTGATCCCCCCCCAACTCACCCCGTGTGACCCCCCCGTGACCTTCACACTGACCTTCACCCCAGAGGGCCCAACCCTCTTGTGACCCCTCCAGGCCCTCCTTTAGCCCCTGTACCCCCAACCCTTCTATAACCTGCCCCTATGCCCCCATCAGGGTCCCCCAACCCCTCTAGCCCCCCCCCCCCAAGCCTCCCAGGACCCCTTTAGGCTCCCCAAACCCCCTTATGGCTCCCCCCGGACCTCCTAACCCTTCTGTTTCCCCCCCCCCCGCCATTGCCTTGACCATTGCCCGTGCTGGGATGGTGATTAATGAGGCCTCGCTGCCCCAGGCCCGTGCCAGTGGATCCCAGTTCATCTCCCAGGCTCTCCCAGTACTTTTCTAGCAGGTTTGAGACTTTGCCCAGCCCTTTACCCGTGGGTCCTGCTCCCTCCCCAGTGCCAACCAGGCCCTCCCCAGTGCTGGTGCTGAGTCGGGCCTGTGCGGTGCTGGGGGGGCCACAGCGGCTCATGGCTACGGAAGCGGGGGCCCAGGAGCGGCTTTGCCGCGGGTTCGAGACGCTGCAGGTGAGGGCAGAGCGGGAGCACGTCCTGCACGTGGAGCTCCACCGCCCGGACAAGAGGAACGCCATGAACGGTGCCTTCTGGAGGTGCTCGGGAGGGCCGGGGGGCTGGCAGCCCTGGGGGAGGGGGGCCGGTGCCATTCCCACCATGGCCCCATTCCCATAGGGAGATGGTGGAATGCTTCCAGGCCATCGCCCAGGACTCCTCCTGCCGTGCCGTGGTCATCTCCGGGGCAGGGAAGGTTTTCACTGCTGGTGAGGCCTTTGGCTCTCTTTGTGGGGGGGGCCCTTCGTAGTGCCCTGTGATAAGGGGGGTTTGGGGGTACCCTGACCTCACATAGGGGGCGTTTGGGGGTGTCTTCCCCCTTGGGGGGAGCTGTGGGGTATCTGTTCCCAGCTCCTGGGGGTGAGCCTTTGTCCCCAACAGGGATCGACCTGGTGGAGATGGGCAGTGAGCTCCTGATGGTGGAGGGGGACGACCCGGCCAGGAAGGCCTGGAACCTGCGGAGGAAAATCTGTGCCTTCCAGGAGAGCTTCTCTGTGCTGGAAAAGGTGGCAAGGAGGGAGGGATGGTGGCTGGATGATGGTTGGATGGATGTGGGGGTGTCCCCTTGTCACCCATGTGTGTCCCACAGTGCCCCAAGCCGGTGATCGTGGCTGTGCACGGTGCCTGTGTTGGTGCAGGTCAGTTGGGGCGGGATGAGGGGACAATGGGATCCCTCCGTGCCCCCGACTCATGGGTTGCTCCGTTCCAGGAGTCGACCTCATCTGTGCCTGTGACATCCGGTACTGCAGCCAGGACGCCTGGTTCCAGGTGAAGGTGGGTTTGTGGGGACCCGGCGGTGGCCACTAGGCCCATCAGGTCTCTTCCATGGGTGTCCCCAAGACCCCTCAGATGCCCCTGTGGCCCCTTCCATGTCCTTTCACGTGGCCCCTTCCGTCTCCATCCCTGCAGGAGGTGGACATCGGGCTGGCAGCCGACGTGGGCACCCTGCAGCGTCTCCCCAAGATCGTGGGCAACCAGAGGTGAGTTGTGGGGACACCAAAGGGGGGGGGACATGGGGACACCAAGGGAAGGGTCCCCCCCATCACCTCATAAGCCCTTTTCCTTCCCAACAAGCCTGGTCAATGAACTGGCCTTCACCGCCCGCAAGATGATGGCCCCCGAGGCACAGAGCTGCGGGCTGGTGAGGTACTGCAGCCCTGGGCTGGCCCTGGGGTGTCCGCTGGGTGCCCCTCGGTGTCCCCCATGTCCCCATGTCCCCCGGCAGCCGCGTCTTCCCGGACAAGGGCTCTGTGGTGCAGGCGGCCGTAGCAGTGGCCGAGGCCATCGCTGCCCGTAGCCCCGTGGCTGTGCAGGGCACCAAAGAGAACCTGCTCTACGCCCGGGACCACTCTGTGTCCGAGAGCCTGCGCTACATGGTGAGGAGGATGGGTCACCCCTGGGGGTTTGGGTCACCCCTCCATGGGTTGGCGTCAGCCCCGGGCAACCACAACAGCCCCAGCTCAGCGCTGTTGCCATCCCGCTTCCCATCTACATCTCCACGGGTGTCCTGTCCCCATTGTTCCCATGCCTGAGGGTGTCCTGTTTCCATTGGCGTCCCATTCCTAAAGGTGTCCTGTTCTCGAGGGTGTCCTGTCCCTGTCCCCCTTGCCATTGGCATCCCATTCCTGTCCCTAAGAGCATCCTGTCCCTATTCCCAAGGGTGTCCCATTCCCATCCCATCCCCAAGGGTGGCCCATCCTGTCTCCATCCCATCCGCAGGCCACCTGGAACATGGGAATGCTGCAGAGCCAGGATGTGGTCACTGCAGCTCAGGCAGCCATGGAGCGGAAGGGTCCCGAGGGTGTCCCATTCAGCAACCTTTAGGGACCCCATGGGGGAACCCCAGTAAACCTGCTTGGACCCACGCCTGCCTCTTCCTGGGGTCTTGAGGGGCCAGGGGGCTGTTGTAGTGCTGGGGGTGTCCCCTGGGTGCTGCCATGGAGTGTTCACAGCATGAGGTGCAGGTGGCAAAGCCAGGGTGGATTATCATGGTGGTGGCACTATTCCAGAGCTCACCGTGTGTAGGTGATTCCCAGCACCAGCTTTCTGTCCTGGCTCCTTAGGCTTAGGAGCAGGGGCTGGATGTTTGCCCTTTGGGATCTGGTGGTTTGGGGGTAATTTGGGGAGTTTTGGGGCATTACAAGGTGGTTTGGGGGCTTTTCTGGAAGGTTTCAAGCTGAGTTTGGGACAATTTGGGTGGTTTATGCATAACAGGAGGTGATTCCAGCAGTTTGGGGGTATTTGGAGTGTTCCATTTCAGTCTCCCCTCTGGCAAGTTGAAGCCATCCCCCCTTGTCCTGTGGCCCCATCCCATGTCCCAAACCCCTCTCCAGGTTTCCTGCAGCCCCTTTAGGCACTGGAGCTGCTCTAAGGCCTCCCCTTCAGGAGCCTTCTCTTCTGCAGGCTGCCCTAGCCCAGCTCTCTCAGCCTGGGAGCATCTCCATGGCCTCCTCTGGACTCGCTCCAACAGCTCCATATCCTGGGAAGCTCTGGGGCACCCCAAACCCCACCTCTCAAGCTGGTGGGGCTGTTGTGGAGCTCCCACTGTGGAGGCAATGCCTTTCCCATACGGATGAGGAATGGAGGGGGGTGACACAGCAGTGGGGACGTTCAAAGCCACCCCAAAGATAAAAGTCCGCGCATGCGCAGTTCCGACCCGGGCTCGCGCATGCGCAGTAGGGATATAGGGATAGGGATATACCAGTATGGATATAGGGATACACCAGTACGGACATACCAGTACGGACATAGGGATACACCACTACGGACATAGGGATACACCAGTATGGACATAGGGATACACCAGTATGAATAGAGGGATACACCAGTATGGATATAGGGATACACCAGTAAGAATACAGGGATACCAGTATGGGTATAGGGACCACTAGTATGGATATCGGATACACCAGTATGGGTATAGGGATACCAGTATGGACGTAGGGTACACCAATATGGACATAGGGTACACCAGTATGGATATAGGGTACACAGTACGGATATAGGGATACACCAGTATGGATATAGGGTACACCAGTATGGATATAGGGATACACCAGTATGGATATAGGGATACACCAGTACAAATATAGGTTACAGCAGTACGAATATAGGTTACACCAGTATGGATATAGGATACACTAGTATGGATATAGGGATACCAGTATGGACATAGGGCACACCAGTATGGATATAGGGATACACCAGTATGGATATAGGTTACACCAGTATGGATATAGGGATACACCAGTACGAATATAGGGATACCAGTATGGATATAGGGTACACCAGTATGGATATAGGTTACACCAGTATGGATATAGGGATACACCAGTACAGACATAGGGATACAGCAGTACGGATATAGGGATACACAAGTATGGATATAGGTTACACCAGTATGGATATAGGGTACACCAGTACGGATGTAGGGATACACCAGTACGGACATAGGGTACACCAGTATGGGTATAGGGATACACAAGTACGGATATAGGGATACAAAAGTATGGATATAGGTTACACCAGTATGGATATAGGGTACACTAGTACGGATATAGGGATACACCAGTATGGACATAGGGTACACCAGTACAGATATAGGTTGCACCAGTATGGATATAGGGATACACATGTATGGATGTAGGTTACAAAAGTATGGATATAGGGATACACCAGTATGGATATAGGTTACACCAGTACGGACATATGGATACAGGTTACACCAGTACGGACATAGGGATACACCAGTATGGATATAGGGTACACCAGTAGGGATATAGGGATACACCAGTACGGACATAGGGATACACCAGTACTGACATAGGGGTACATCAGTACAGATATAGGGATACACCAGTACGAATATAGGGATACACGAGTATGTATATAGGGATACACCAGTACGAATATAGGGGTAACAGTATGGGTATAGGATACACCAGTATGGATATAGGGATACCAGTATGGACATAGGGTACACCAGTATGGATATAGGATACACCAGTATGGATATAGGGTTACACCAGTATGGATATCGGGTACACCAGTATGGG